ACGCTCATGGGGATTCTCGCTCTATTGATCGGTAGTCGTACATTGGAAATGGATATAGCTCGATTATGTATAATGTCTGTAGAAGCTCTATGCATAACTTATATAGTATGCAAACCGAATTTGATGCGTGTGACTATCTTGTTTGGTTTCATAAAGTGTTTGTAAATATCTTTCGTTCTCATAAAATTTGTCCAGTTCTGCCTTGTAGTTGCAAAATGAAGGACGTCTCGCGATTTTTTATTAATGAAAAAGTAGTCCCGGTGTGACAGAGGTCACGGTTATCCAATCCAAACGAATAAAACAAGGTACGACGTGTGACTTACGGATTTAGTATCTTACTACCGGTATCTTCACCACGTTGGGAATAAATACTCGTAGATCATCGTAAGACAGTCATGTCCATCAAGAATTATGATTAAAATTAATTATAAAAATGTTTGCACTGTTCTATTGGACGATAACGTCTTACACAGGCTCCTTTGTGAAAGACCGATCTTGGTGTACTCACATACTAAATTCAATAAAAATATACAGAACACCTGTTGTCAACAGAAGTTTCTAAACTGAAAATAATATATCTTCTTCTCAAGGCCATACGCAGAAGCCATACTTGCACATCAACATGAAGATTGACGCCACGACGTTTATACAAACATTTAATATACACAGGTCTGTTATCTGTCCCCAGCACTCTAATAATAACCTATGTAGAAAGTATCTGTAGTGTAGGGACACCTGATTCAAACGGAATTGTAAAGGGTAATTATGATGTGTGTATGTCCACCGTTCAAGTGTGGGGACTATATGAAGAGCCTGAACACATCCTCTATTGACAACGGTGCTATCGAGTACATGTAACCCGTAGGATACCAACGAAGAGATTGTCCATGCATAAGGATGTGACAGACACGACGTCAGTATTTTTAAACATGTACAGTACCTCGTCGAGCAGGGTAAGGTCCTTATAAGCAAACTTTCATAAACAGGTCGAATCTGGGATTCGAACCCGCGAAAGTAGGGTTCTGAAAGGCAACTTACAGAACAACTAGAACACAAGAGTCATCTAATCTTTTTGCACAAACATCTTGAGAAGCATTCTCCATCAAGGTGGAGTAAATGTTAAACCACAGCAGACCGATTACTTATTAAAAGTAAGTGAGTGAGTTAGGTTTTACGCCGCTTTTAACAGTATTACAGTTATATCACGGCGTGTCAGCTTAATGTGGGAGGAAAGCCCGAAGTGATGCAGGTTTCAGACGTTTACCACTTTGGTGAAACCCACGAGCACGGGTATGGTGCTGACAAACCTAGAAACATAATCGGGGCGAACCTGGATTCGAACCCACAATCATATGTTTCTGGCGTGCCCAAGGGACGCAACTTAGGCGCGGCGCCTTAGACGACTGGGCCACCCGTGTCCCCTAAAAGTGAGTGAGTGTGTTGAGGTTTATCGGCAATATGTCTGCCATTTTGTGACTAGACAGTTTTCTGAAAGCCTGCCATCAAAAGACAGTAAAAGTACGAGTAATGTATCACAATTCCTTGTTAAAAACTAACTTGAAAACGATACTGAAATGAGAGTGTTAAACGACGACACAATATAAAACGCCAGGAAGGGAAGAACACATTACTTGGGACCAAGGGACAGTACTTCTGCTTCCTGCAACGTATTAATAGGTTTTTAACATATGTTCATTCTCCTTCTCCCTGGTGATCGCCTCCGTGGTGTAGAGGTAGAGCGTCCGCCCGGAGAGCGGAAGGACTGGACTGGTCGGCTCGGAGTCCTATACTGTGTCCGAGTGGCGTATTCATGTTAAAATTGCAGCATGGTATCTCAGAGAGCTAGCATTATAAAATCGGCATTTGTCCGCAGTAGTACAAGCAGACCCCCCCCCCCCCCCCCCCCCCCCACACACACACACACACGCAGGCACGCGGGCACGCACACACACAGAGTACACACAGTACACACACACACACACACACACACACACACACACACACACACACACACACACACACACACACACACACACACACACACACACACACACACACACACACTATGTAAGTGCAATAATCTTGGACGCGACGTTAAACCCCATCTCACCTCACATCTTTTAATGTAAATTCTGTGAGTGGCACTCACACGTACATGTCCGTTGCTGTATATAAAGTGCAATAATCTTTCACATATCACCCCAACTCACCATCTTCCTTGTTGGTACCGTATGTTCAAAAGTATTTTCTTTGTTGTACGCCACACTCAGCACTATTCTAGCTATATGACAGCGCTCTGTAAATAATTAAGTCTGGACTGATATCATGAGCATCGACCCATGCAATTGGAGACCATGACATGCACAATCAACCAAGTCACAGAGCCTGACCACCCGATCCATTAGTCGCCTCATACGACAAGCATAAGTTGCTGGGGACCTATTTTACCCGGAATCCCCATGGTTGATGTTCAGTTCAGAAGTAAATCCCTTTAGTTTATCATGTACTCAAAATGAAATACAAATATATTTATTTGGACCCGGCATTGAGTCGTTCATATTATTCAGTATTAAATAATTTAAGGACCATCTATATTTTAGTGGTATGCAGCGTTTGTCTGACAGTTCTAATCCAAATGTTCGTGTTGAACAAAATACGATTTTGGAGCAATGTTTATTCCGCTTATCGCGATCACAGTTGGAGATAAGGCAATCTTACTCTAATCTTATCACGATAATGATACTGAAATAGTACCGCGTCACTGTAGCTATGTACTCAACAGGATATGTGCTCAACATTTGGTGTCAACGGACCCACAGATCATGACGTAAGCTAGATGGACGTGAATGACCAATGAAAGTATGAAAACCACTTTCTATACGGATTGAATAACGTGGAATTCATGATTGGTCGCACACACTGTTTCATGTCAGGGCAATCACATCGGAGTTCTGACTTTGCTGCCGAACAGAATATTTTACATGATCACGACGTTGAAAAATTTAAACTTCACCATTTGCCATTGCCAGGGTGTCAAAAGGGCCCTTGTCATGCTTCGTCTATTCTTTTTCAAGTGCAAAGTAGATAAGAATTTCTTTTGGAGGCTTGATCCTCACATCCGTGGACACACAGTCACACATCGTTGTGTCGAACACTGATGTCTCGAAGTAAAGGCAAGCTCCCTGTGTTTCCTTCCTTATTCCTCATTTGCGGTTGTGTCGAACCTCGGATAACTCGAAGTATTGATGTAGGCCCCTTCAACTTCAACCCAACGGTGTTTGACTGTAGTATGGTTTAGTCATGGTAATGGGTTAAAGCGTTAAGCTCACTTCAGCGATTTTAGTGTAGATGTAAAACCTCAACGCCAGAGAATCTAGAATATCTGCCGAAACGGATTCCAGCTCGTTAAAGGTAGTAAAAATTAAAAAGTGGTGAAAATTATATGAATGGATGAATGAAAATCATTGATGACGCCAGACGTTGGCAAAAGGGTAAGCTTTACCGGTGGCACCTGCCATTCACAGAATTTACATTAAGAGAGGGAAATGGGGTTAACGTCGCGGCCAAGCTTATTGCACTTATATAGCGACGTGCATGCATGTATGTGTGTGTGGCTACCTGTACTAGTCCGAACTAATACCGGTTTAATAGAGTTAGCCCACTGATATACCATGCCGCAGTTTAACATAAATACCCCACTCACACATAATATAGTGACTCCGAGCCGACCAGTCCTTGTTTTAGCCCCTTTAATGCAGAGCGCCAGGCAGGATAGCAACAATTATCATCTTTAAACGTCTTTTGGTATGACGCAGCCGGGAACTCCGGACCGTGCGCTCTCCGGGCGGACACTCTACCACTAGACCACGGAGGCGGTCTACATTAAAAGAGTAAGTGCCAATAAGGAAAGAGTGTCAACAAAACCCTTTATGGCATGGGATAGTATCGCACATGATGTTGACAAGTAATGTGTGATATTTGTAAAAATTACCTTAATGTCCACCATCACATTTCTTGAATGACAAAACCAGGCCTTCGATGGTGAAATCCTGATTGAAAAGCTGCTGATAACTGAAAGTTATCACATTTATGATTAATGCATCAGCAGCCCTAACCAGTTGGTATGATAAAATCAATATGTAACATAACATGTAGTCCTCTACTTAAGTTTAAACATATGCATGATAAAACCACCGTCTATGCCTCTTATTTCACAACAACCATTATTTTAAACCAAGTCATCATTATGTACCCCCAGCACTGATGTCTTTAAAAGACCGTTAACACCAGCTACTATATTCATTTTCATCGAGGCCTGGCCATACATTCCCTGTGCAATTGTTACGTGCTCATAATACACAGAAACATGATGGACACTTTTATTATCATAATTCATATACTCCACCTTTACTTGGTTTGGTTCTGTTGGAAAAGTGACTTATACCTGCGATGATAGATGTATTTAACCATAGCCGATAGTTTCAATAGTACAAAGGCAACAGTATTCTTAACGTGATTAACAAGAAACACTCTAATCATCACTATCAGTTATGACTTGATCAGATGTTTATGAAAACAGTCAATTTAGATTTAGAACATGAAAAAAGACTTTGATAGCAAGCAAAAATATATATTTATTTGTGAAGCTACATCTGGCTAAAGCTTTGCCAGATGTGGCTAATGGAAGGATGGTTTCAATTTTTCGTAGCGTTTGCAAGTTACGCGTAAACTTGGCTTATTTGCCATCAGCCACGTACACAGTGAACCAGTGTCGGAAAGAAGATCATTCATTCATTTAGGTCCAACGATGCGTGAACAATACTACCAATGAGGACGAGGGTCTGTTGTTGTGGCCTTCTATTAAGGGTTGAAGGCGTGTTTCATATACTTGTCTGTTATTGTGTAGGTTTTATTATTTGTTCATGGTGGAGGCTCATCTCATAACACAGTTTGTGAATAGGAATATGTATCAAAACATTGAAATACATACACAAAATTTGGATATAAATACTGCTCCAACAGTAGTCCTTCAGACGTGGACTTTCTTCCAAGCTCTCCTGGACCAACATGATGCTCGCTTTTGCTCTCGTGTCCTGCTGCCTTGTTGGCCTCGCCACAGGATTTGTGTTCAAACCACGTAAGTTTTTTTAATGATATTATTCCTTTACATTTGGTACATGACACATGTCAGAGATTACACTTATTATTCCAATTTAACACTATAACAAATGTTATATTTGGGATAACACTTTCTTAGTAAAGTACAGATTCTCGTACTTTTTGGGGTTGAGTCCCGTCCGGGATTCGAACCCGCACTTGCCAGAGTCGACTCAACCCAAAAAAGTACGAGAATTTGTACTTTACTAAGAAAGTGTTGTTCCAAATATAACATTTGTTACATTTGACCACTTTCTAAATGGCATTGTGTATTCACAATTTAACATCGTGATAGGTATGTACTCGTTGCAGTAACTGTTTGCCTACATATGGTATTCAAAAGAAGTTAAAGAACATCCGAATTGTTTCATATGGCTATAGTTAATATGTCATGACCATGACAGATTAACGATAGTCATTTGAACAAATCTGGTTTTCTTTAACTTCTTTTTGGTGGTATGTAATTTGATTCTGCACTCATTAGATGTATTTAAGTGATGAAGCAGAGTAAATAAATCTTCGATTGCAATAAATATTTATTTTCGAAGAGTGGAAGGGGTGTTTTTTTTATACGACGGGTTCTACCTTAAGTCGAATGACGTAGCGGGGGATGTGTTCCGTGTTTCGTACACATGCTGTCATAAATGTAGCAATGTCATTAGTTAGTGTTTCGTACACATGCTGTCATAAATGTAGCAATGTCATTAGTTAGTGTTTCGTACACATGCTGTCATAAACGTAGCAATGTCATTAGTTAGTGTAGGTGTTTGGAAGTTAACGGCTTCAATTTCGTTAGGATTTTGTTACTTTTATACTTTTAAAGAAGTCATTGGCGTTACAAAATGATTTCAGTGTTATGTATTATGTAATCGTGCGTACCCACAAACCCTTTTTTGGCTGTTAGGTTTGTTTAAAAAACATATGACGTGCTCAAAACTATTTCATTGCGGGATATATATGGTGATGTTCAATATAATGACAAGTCTTATTCGTCTAGCCGCAGAAATCCCGCCTTGTTGATGGTTATTGGTTATTACTGGGTCCTTGGGTTTATATATTCGTAAAATGAAGCATTTAGATTTAAATTATTGTAGTTGTGTAACATGGCATTAGATACTATGTTTAAAAGGACGAATTGTTAATTTAAAGTACATGCTAATTCAAAACTTTTTATAATAATTTCAGCATGTGAGACGCAACAACATACGTGTTATGCTGAGACCGAGTGCCCAATGGGCACCGAGCCTCTGGAATCTCTGTGCTTTAACAACGAGATCTGCTGTGTTGGAGCTCCACGTATGTATAACCTTGGTCCATTTGTCCTGCCTCACAACTGGAGTCCTCTGTGCTTGAAACCAGCACTGGTTTATACTAATCAGGACCTGTAACCTAATAACTGGATGCTTGGGTATTACTTGAAGCTAGTTTTAATTTAGCATCCTTTAAACTGCTTTACTCAACCCCTTTGGTTATTATGAGAGTTGAAATGTTGAAATGCTGCCAATTAAATGTCATTATTCAGTGTTAGAATAATTGCTGTGTGTTTGTTGATGTGTGTTTGTGTTTGTGTGCGTAAGTGTATGTATTTGTGTATGTCTCTCTGTGTGTATGCGTGTGTATATGTGTGTGCATGTCTCTCTTTGTGTATGTGTATATGTGTGTGTAAGTCTGTGTATCTGTGTGTGTATTTGTAAATGGTTTGCTTGTACCAACACTATTTATATATATATATATATATATATATATATATATATAATGTGTGTGTGTATGTGTAAATGGTTTGCTTGTACCAACACTATATATATATATATTTATATATATATATATGTGTGTGTGTGTGTGTGTGTGTGTGTGTGTGTGTGTGTGTGTGTGTGTGTGTGTGTGTGTATCTGTGTATATCTGTGTATGTATGTGTGTATGTGTCACCCTCTGTGTGCGTATGTATGTATTAGTGTATATATGTATGTATGTCTCTGTGTGTATATATACCTATATCTATATCTATATATCTGCGTGTATATATGTGTGTATGTGTCACCCTCTCTGTGTGTATGTGTGCATGTGCATGTGTCTGTGTTTGTGTGTATGTGCATGTGTGTGTATGTGTGGATATGTGTGTGTATGTGTGCATGTGCATGTCTCTGTCTCTGTCTGTCTGTGTTTGTTTGTGTGAGTGCTTGGGATACGATGACATGCATCAGCCAAGTCAGTGTTTGTGTGTTTGTGTGTGTGTGTGTGTGTGTGTTTAATCACCTTTTACGGCAACATGGGCCACTGAGGAGCTATTCTAACCCGGATCTACACGGGTAGCAATGCCTCCTACCAGATAAGCATACCATTATCTGAAATATACCTTCCCGTTGGTGCATGGGTCCAAATGTTTGTTTGATGGTACCAATATTCTTTGTTGTAGAATGTACGCCAGACCCTTGCATAAATGGAACATGTGCATTTGTCGATGGAGCCAACACATGCAACTGTGATGCGGGTTTTTCTGGCCCCACATGTGACGTTGACGGTAAGAGTAAAGCTTTTGTAAGCACATATTTGTAAGAGGAGGCAACTAGTTTACACCGATTGCAACATAGGCACTCAATACTAGGGTCTGAAGTTAGCAGTGTGTGAAGAATAAAGAAAAACAAGCCAGCACCGGGTTCGTTTTTCAAAGGCTATATATTAAACAACTACAGTAACGTGGTCAAATACACTGAAATACACAGGTTCTTCTTACATCATCATTCAAAAGCTGTTTAGTTATTCAGTACTTTTGAATAACGAAAAAAAGAGCTTCGGGTTTGTTATTCAGTTTATGTCCAAAAATTCTATTAAATATCAGATAGTCTATGGTCTTTCGCCCAACAACTGTTAAGCTAATCAGTTGTTTTGAATAACGAGAAACAACGATGTAAGACGAATCTGCTGTCATATATTGAATGAGTGTCAGTGTATTTGACCACATTACTGTAGTTGTTTAATATACAGCCTTTGAATAACGAACACGGTGCTGGCTTGTTTTTCGTTATTCGAAATACGAAGTACGAATAACGAGCCCACAGGAAATACGGTATCTCATATTTGTTATACCAAGTCTGAATAACGAACCCGGTGCAGGTTTGTTTTTCGTTATTCAAAAGTACTGAATATAACTAAACAGCTTTTGGATGATGATGTAAGGCGAACCTGCTGTAAATGAGTTTAAGTGTTTTTGACCACATCACTGTAATTGTTTAAAATACACCCTTGAATAACAAACCCGAATAACGAATAACGAACCCGCTGCTAACTTCAGGCCCCTCTCTATACTTAAGGGTTGTCCATGTTATTACTATTTCTTCCTTTGCTGTACCAGTACATGCACAAAAGTAATTATTTGGAATATCACTGATACTGCATGACAATTTATTTCAAAATGCTTATAACAATTCTTCCCATTGAGAAAATAGACTTAATGGTTTGCAATATGTAATACTTCATAACTTGTTAGCTCTACTCTCAAGTCGACTACCTACACCATAACCATGGGTGTGTCATTATTTGTATGTTTTCAGCATGTGCAGATCCAACTATTTGCCAGAATGGTGGCACATGCGAGCGTGGGACCGCCTCTCCCTATTTCACTTGTGCGTGTGCACCGGGCTACACTGGCAACAATTGCGAAACAGATGGTAAATCCCAACAACTTTCATCACACATACAAGACTGTCTCATACATAAATTGATAGTGTTTTCGATGCGATAAACCAATCCGATAAACTTAGATCACGTTTCGATAAATATGCAAATTAGGTCATCTTGCAGAAACAACTTCCAAGCGCCATGCATCACTGCAATGTGCTAGATCAATACACAAGCTACTAACGTTCCCAATGTGTTTAGACAAGTCTTTTTTTTGTAGAGTTGTAGATTAATACAGTTTTCCGTCAAAGACAAATTTTGGAAGCTTAGATAAGTCTTCCCTAAAGTTTGGGTGTTTCTGAAGTGTGAGTATGATTTTACGCCGCTTTTAGCAATAATCCAGCAATATCACGGGGTCACTGGGAATGGACATTATACATTGTACCCAATCGAACTGTCGGCGTGTCGTGCGAAAGCTTTAACCATGTTTAGGATTGTATTTAACAGCTAAGTATGTATAGCGTCTTAAAAAAACTAAAAGAGGTTAGGGGTCTTCATAGTAATCATATATACTATCATTATCAGCTTCATGTATGAGAGAAGTACTACTAGTGATACAACAGCAACACATTTATGAACATAATCAAAATCTAAACATGTTTTAACATGTAAGATTCTGAACATGTTAACATTATAGGGATGTAGAGATGTTGTGTTTAGGTGGTGTTTAGGCTGCAAGACGATAGCTCATTTCGTATGTTCAGACCTAAATGCGTTTAGATAGAACACGCCAAGTGTGTTTTCCGATTAGAATTTAAACACATTTCTAATCATGTTTAGTTTGAAACATGACTTGTCTGTGTTTACATTTTAAACACAATGTTTACAGTGTAACTTGTATAAACTTGGAAGTATTTGGAGTGTGGAAATCCACACATAAGCCATTATATTATGGTCCCGTGAAGCTTCCGGCTAAGAATTGGTCTTTAGCAACCCATGCTTGTCGTGACTAACGGGATCGGGTGGTCAGGCTCGCTGACTTGGTTAATGCATGTCATCGTATCCCAATTGCGTAGATCGATGCTCATGATGTCAATCACTGGATTGTCTGGTACAGATTCAATTATCTGCAGACCGACGTCATATAACTGTAATATTGCTGACGTCGGCGTTGACCAACAAACAAACACTATATTATGTCTTTTCGGCGTGTTGCGACCCGACAAAATTATCTCTAGCTTGACATTGTTCTTAATTAACATTATGTTTTTATGATCAATTTTATCTATATTACCATAAGTAGTTGCCTACACCTGAGGGAGTAATAAACATATATTATTATCATTTTTATTTATATTATCATTTTAGGTGCTTACAACTGGGGGAGTAATACTAATCAAGCTTGTTTTGTTAAATGTGGTTTAACATCGCGTTCAAGATGGCATGCCATTGCAGATTAATCATATACCGCCTCCGTGGTCTAGTGGTAGAGCGTCTGCCCGGAGAGAGGAAGATCCGGGGTTCGATCCCCGGCCGCGTCATACCAAAAGACGTTTAAAGATGGTACTTATTATTACCCTGTCTGGCGCTCAGCATTAAGGGGCTAAAACAAGGACTGGTCGGCTCGGAGTCAGTATACTGTGTCTGAGTTGGGTATTCATGTTAAACTGCGGCATGGTATCTCAGTGAGCTAGCACTATAAATCGACATCAGTCCGGACTTGTACAAGCAGCCACACACACACACGTGCATGCACGTCGCTATATAAGTGCAATAATCTTGGACGCGACGTTAAACCCAATTTCACCTCACCAGATTAATCATAGTAAATATAAAGATCGGGAAGTACTGACCTTCTTTTGAATAGTTTATAAGTGAAGGAGCAACAACTTTGCAATAGTTTGTTGTTCTCACATTGGTGTGTTTTTAACATTCTTATATATGTTTCAGCTTGTGCTGGGGTTGGAGTATGCATCAATGGTGGAACCTGTAACCGCCAGGCAGATGCACCATTATACAACTGTGGTTGTGCCCCGGGCTTCACTGGTGCCAACTGCGAAACGAATTGTAAATACTGATGGCTTGATAAGAGTTACAACAATATGTTTCTTATTTAATGTCCACGGTCTTAGGCTGTGTAGTTTCTTGTTTAACCTATGAAAACACGTCTTATCTCACCCCCGGATTACAAAAGCAACCCATGCTTGCCGTAAAAGGCGACTATGCTTTACGTAAGAGGCGACTAACGGGATCGGTGGTCAGGCTGACTTACTTGGTTGATGCGTGTTATCGTATCCTAATCCTGGTGTTCGATGCACCGCTGTCATATAGCTGGAATATTGCTGAGAGCGGCGTGAAACAAACAAACAAACAAACAAACAAACAAACAAACGTCGGATCTGGTCACTACACTCAATACATATATGATGCAAGCGTGCAGATTAAGATTTTTTATGTTATCAATTTCACATAGTAAAGAGGAATAAAGATAGAAGGTTAATAACACCCTGTTGATATCCAGAATTCTTATTAATATTCTGCTTGCACTATTTAACTATTGTTATTGTAAACTTCCATATGACTGCATTTATGATTCATTTTCAGTGTGCGAACCAAACCCATGTAACTCTGGAACCTGTGATCATAGTGAAAACGTCCCAGGCTACGCATGCACATGCACTGACAATTACTTTGGCCTCCACTGCGATCAAAACTGTAAGTATCTGCCTTTTCACTCCGATCCCCTTTATCACAGTCAATTAATGAATACAAATAAGTTATATATAGTTGGTTTTTGTACACATTCTTAATTGTGTTCGGGGCGGTTGGGTAGCCTAGTGGTTTAATCTCTCTCTCGTCACGCCGAAGGCCCGGGTTCGATTCCCCTCATGGCTACAATTATGTGAGGCCCATTTCTGGTGTCCCCCGCCGTGACGTTGCTGGAATATTGGTAAAGCGTCGTATAACCATACTTACTTACACACATGTCTTCAGTGGTCTGTTTCAAAAGTGGGGGCACGGGTGGCCCAGTCGTCAATCGCTGTGCAGAGTTGCGTCCCTTGGGCACGCCAGAAACCTATTATTGTGGGTTCGAATCCTTGTTCGCCCCGATTATGTTTCTAGGTTTGTCAGCACCAAACCCGTGCTCGTGGGCTTTCCTCCCACATTAAGCTGACACGCCGTGATATGCCTGGAATACTGTTAAAAGCGGCGTTAAACACAACTTACTCACTCACTCACTCACTCTCTGTTTCAAAAGTATTTAACTTTCTGTTAGATACATATAAAAAATAGTTGATGATTTTAACTCAACATTTTCAAAATGAAAAAATAAGAAGGAAAGGCCTGCATTCTATAATTTGCCCTGGCCACATCCATTATCTGTCTCGCCAAATTCAGACAGTTTCCTGTTGCTGCATGCCAGAAATATTGCCGATGCGATGATAATTTAAACTCACTGATATTCTTGCACAAAAGTATTAATAATAGTGTTTCATCTTTAATAATATTTCAACCACATTGATATTAAAATGTCATTACTTAATTTAGTGTGATATATTCATACTATTTTCTTTCTCATTCACGTATTTCCGTCAATTTCTAACGTGAGCGACATTCCATTTATGACGTCATTTAGTGCCATAACGTCACGTACCGCGGTCACACAAAGGACATTGCAGCACTAGTCTCATTCACTTTTGCTGTCAGCAATAAAAGAGTATCATTTTCCATTTTGTTCGATATATAATGCTGCCTTTTTAACGATTTTGCATTTACTCTGATTGTCGGCTGTATCATGAATGTCCGTGATAGTTTGACTTAAATAACATTAAATGTGTGGTCGTGGTTGGAAAAAACCAGAAGAATTGTCTGCCACAAAAGGTAAATTGATTCAATGATCTTGTTTAACATAATATCTGGTTTTGCATTAAGCTGACACTAATATCGGGGCTAATACCCCCCCCCCCCCCCCCCTCCCCCCCCCCCCCCCCCCCACACACACACACACACACACACCACCCCCACCACCACCCCCACCCCCACATACAACCACCACAGCCACCTCCATACCAGAATATCAAAAGTTATTTTAGGTCCTTATGAAATGAAATGGTTTTATCTGTGATACTGACACTGTTATTGTTGGTATTCAGTGTGTTTGGGTAACCCCTGCGATGAAGTAGACTCGGATGCAAACTGCACCTATCCTGATCCTTCGAATGTTCAAGAGAAGATGTGTGTATGCAATGAAATAGGAGGATTCCACGGGGAATTGTGTGAACTCAATGGTATGTATGTGTAATTGACTAGGGTAGTTTGTATGCTGGAGGTGGTGACGATCGTTACAGCTGCTCGTGTGGTCACTTGTCGAACAAATTCAAATCTCTCAGCAACCCACGCTTGTCATAAAAAGCGATTATGCTTGACTGAAGAGAGAGACCACCTGGATCGGGAGGTCAAACTCGCCGACTTAGTTTGATTAATGTCTTCGTAAACCAATTGCGTAGATCGATGCTCATGCTGTCAATCACCAGATTGCTGGTCCAGAATATTTATTGATCGCCGTAATATTGCTGGAATGTTGCAGAGTGTGGCGTTAAACAGCAAACAACATGTTGACAACTGTGTGCTTGTAATGCAACATTTGGATCTATTTTGTTTCCTACGTATACAGTCAAACACCGTTGTGTCGAAGTTGCAGGTACCTACGTAAAAACTTCGAGTTATCCGAGGCTCGACACAACCGAAATGATAAATAAAAAAGGAATACGCAGGGATCAAAATTGTATTTCGAGACAACCATAAGTTCGACACAACGGTGTTTGACTTTACAGATTTTCCGGTGTAGGTGAGACACATTGAAAGTCGGTTTGGATATCATATTGATGACAATATAACGACAGAAATTGTGTAGATCTAATACCAAAATTAAGTAGTTTGAGAAGCAATTGAGTGGTCAACGATTTAGGCAATTAGTTGGCATATATATTTTGATTAGTAAACCAGCATGTGTGTCATACTGATTTTACGAAACGAGTGTCAAACTTTTTGTGTACTTGTATTGCTCCTGGAAGCCCTGGCCTTACTGATGATTGTTGAACCTTGCACCTGCTATGTGAAGCTGCCCCCCTTAGCCTCTAACTTGATTACTGGTGTACCAGGTGTGGCCTCTAACTTGATTACTGGTGTACCAGGTGTGGCCTCCAACTTGATTACTGGTGTACCAGGTGTGGCCTCCAACTTGATTACTGGTGTACAAGGTGTTGCCTCCAACTTGATTACTGGTGTACAAGGTGTTGCCTCCAACTTGATTACTGGTGTGCAAGGTGTTGCCTCCAACTTGATTACTTGTGTACATGGTGTTGCCTCCAACTTGATTACTGGTGTACATGGTGTGGCCTCCAACTTGATTACTGGTATACAAGGTGTGGCCTCTAACTTGATTACTGGTGTACAAGATGTGGCCTCTAACTTGATTACTGGTGTACAAGGTGTGGCCTCTAACTTGATTACTGGTGTACCAGGTGTGGCCTCCAACTTGATTACTGGTGTACAAGGTGTGGCCTCCAACTTGATTACTTGTGTACATGGTGTTGCCTCCAACTTGATTACTGATGTACATGGTGTGGCCTCCAACTTGATTACTGGTATACAAGGTGTGGCCTCCAACTTGATTACTGGTGTACAAGATGTGGCCTCTAACTTGATTACTGGTGTACAAGGTGTGGACTCCAACTTGATTACTGGTGTACAAGGTGTGGCCTCTAACTTGATTACTGGTTTACAAGGTGTGGCCTCCAACTTGATTACTTGTGTACATGGTGTTGCCTCCAACTTGATTACTGGTGTACATGGTGTGGCCTCCAACTTGATTACTGGTATACAAGGTGTGGCCTCCAACTTGATTACTGGTGTACAAGGTGTGGCCTCTAACTTGATTACTGGTGTACAAGTCGTGGCCTCCAACTTGATTACTGGTGTACAAGGTGTGGCCTCTAACTTGATTACTGGTGTACAAGGTGTGGCCTCTAACTGAATTACTGGTGTACAAGGTGTGGCCTCCAACTTGATTACTGGTGTACAAGATGTGGCCTCTAACTTGATTACTGGTGTACAAGATGTGGCCTCTAACTTGATTACTGGTGTACAAGGTGTGGCCTCCAATTTGATTACTGGTGTACAAGGTGTGGCCTCCAACTTGATTACTGGTGTACAAGGTGTGGCCTCTAACTTGATTACATGTTTACAAGGTGTGTCCTCCAACTTGATTACTGGTGTACAAGGTGTGGCCTCCAACTTGATTACTGGTGTACAAGGTGTGGCCTCTAACTTGATTACTGGTGTACAAGGTGTGGCCTCTAACTTGATTACTGGTGTACATGGTGTTGCCTCTAACTTGATTACTGGTGTACATGGTGTGGCCTCTAACTTGATTACTGGTGTACATGGTGTTGCCTCTAACTTGATTACTGGTGTACATGGTGTGGCCTCTAACTTGATTACTGGTGTACAAGGTGTGGCCTCTAACTTGATTACTGGTGTACATGGTGTTGCCTCTAACTTGATTACTGGTGTACATGGTGTGGCCTCTAACTTGATTACTGGTGTACATGGTGTGGCCTCTAACTTGATTACTGGTGTACATGGTGTGGCCTCTAACTTGATTACTGGTGTACATGGTGTGGCCTCTAACTTGATTACTGGTGTACATGGTGTGGCCTCTAACTTGATTACTGGTGTACATGGTGTGGCCTCTAACTTGATTACTGGTGTACATGGTGTTGCCTCTAACTTGATTACTGGTGTATATGGAGTTGCCTCTAACTTGATTACTGGTGTACATGGTGTGGCCTCTAACTTGATTACTGGTGTACATGGTGTTGCCTCTAACTTGATTACTGGTGTACATGGTGTGGCCTCTAACTTGATTACTGGTGTACATGGTGTGGCCTCTAACTTGATTACTGGTGTACATGGTGTGGCCTCTAACTTGATTACTGGTGTACATGGTGTTGCCTCTAACTTGATTACTGGTGTACAAGGTGTGGCCTCTAACTTGATTACTGGTGTACATGGTGTGGCCTCTAACTTGATTACTGGTGTACATGGTGTGGCCTCTAACTTGATTACTGGTGTACATGGTGTGGCCTCTAACTTGATTACTGGTATACAAGGTGTGGCCTCCAACTTGATTACTGGTGTACAAGGTGTGGCCTCCAACTTGATTACTGGTGTACAAGGTGTGGCCTCTAATTTGATTACTGGTGTACATGGTGTTGCCTCTAACTTGATTACTGGTGTACAAGGTGTGGCCTCTAACTTGATTACTGGTGTACAAGGTGTGGCCTCTAACTTGATTACTGGTTTACATGGTGTGGCCTCTAACTTGATTTCTGGTGTACATGGTGTGGCCTCTAACTTGATTACTGGTGTACAAGGTGTTGCCTCTAACTTGATTACTGGTGTACATGGTGTGGCCTCTAACTTGATTACTGGTGTACATGGTGTGGCCTCTAACTTGATTACTGGTGTACATGGTGTGGCCTCTAACTTGATTACTGGTGTACATGGTGTGGCCTCTAACTTGATTACTGGTGTACATGGTGTGGCCTCTAACTTGATTACTGGTGTACATGGTGTGGCCTCTAACTTGATTACTGGTGTACATGGTGTTGCCTCTAACTTGATTACTGGTGTACATGGTGTGGCCTCTAACTTGATTACTGGTGTACATGGTGTTGCCTCTAACTTGATTACTGGTGTACATGGTGTGGCCTCTAACTTGATTACTGGTGTACATGGTGTGGCCTCTAACTTGATTACTTGTGTAAATGGTGTTGCCTCTAACTTGATTACTGGTGTACATGGTGTGGCCTCTAACTTGATTACTGGTGTACAAGGTGTGGCCTCTAACTTGATTACTGGTGTACATGGTGTGGCCTCTAACTTGATTACTGGTGTACATGGTGTTGCCTCTAACTTGATTACTGGTGTACATGGTGTTGCCTCTAACTTGATTACTGGTGTACATGGTGTTGCCTCTAACTTGATTATTGGTGTACATGGTGTGGCCTCTAACTTGATTACTGGTGTACATGGTGTGGCCTCTAACTTGATTACTGGTGTACATGGTGTGGCCTCTAACTTGATTACTGGTGTACATGGTGTGGCCTCTAACTTGATTACTGGTGTACATGGTGTGGCCTCTAACTTGATTACTGGTGTACATGGTGTTGCCTCTAACTTGATTACTGGTGTACAAGGTGTGGCCTCTAACTTGATTACTTGTGTACATGGTGTTGCCTCTAACTTGATTACTGGTGTACATGGTGTTGCCTCTAACTTGATTACTGGTGTACATGGTGTGGCCTCTAACTTGATTACTGGTATACAAGGTGTGGCCTCCAACTTGATTACTGGTGTACAAGGTGTGGCCTCAAACTTGATTACTGGTGTACAAGGTGTGGCCTCTAACTTGATTACTGGTGTGCATGGTGTTGCCTCTAACTTGATTACTGGTGTACAAGGTGTGGCCTCTAACTTGATTACTGGTGTACAAGGTGTGGCCTCTAACTTGATTACTGGTGTACATGGTGTGGCCTCTAACTTGATTACTGGTGTACATGGTGTGGCCTCTAACTTGATTACTGGTGTACATGGTGTGGCCTCTAACTTGATTACTGGTGTACATGGTGTTGCCTCTAACTTGATTACTGGTGTACATGGTGTTGCCTCTAACTTGATTACTGGTGTACATGGTGTGGCCTCTAACTTGATTACTGGTGTACATGGTGTGGCCTCTAACTTGATTACTGGTGTACATGGTGTGGCCTCTAACTTGATTACTGGTGTACATGGTGTGGCCTCTAACTTGATTACTGGTGTACATGGTGTTGCCTCTAACTTGATTACTGGTGTACATGGTGTGGCCTCTTACTTGATTACTGGTGTACAAGGTGTGGCCTCCAACTTGATTACTGGTGTACAAGGTGTGGCCTCTAACTTGATTACTGGTGTACAAGGTGTGGCCTCTAACTGAATTACTGGTGTACAAGGTGTGGCCTCCAACTTGATTACTGGTGTACAAGATGTGGCCTCTAACTTGATTACTGGTGTACAAGGTGTGGCCTCTAACTTGATTACTGGTGTACAAGGTGTGGCCTCCAACTTGATTACTGGTGTACATGGTGTGGCCTCTAACTTGATTACTGGTGTACAAGGTGTGGCCTCTAACTTGATTACTGGTGTACAAGGTGTGGCCTCTAACTTGATTACTGGTGTACAAGGTGTAACTGAAAGATTGTGTGCTGAAAACACATTTGTTAACGAATAGCGTATAAAACTGATTATAGAGAGGTAAACTGCATTTCCTTGAAAGAATGTATCACTAGGGATTGATACCTTCGAATGCTATAAGTGGCAACGAAACGTACAAGGATTGCTTGTCTACAGAAAGATGAGCGGTTCATTCCGTTCGTTTCACAAATATCTCTTCGTTTTGCAGTGTGCAGTCCGGATCCATGCTTTGAAAGCACTTGTACAAACATGGGCAACACAGATTACTCGTGTGAATGTCCTTTCAACCGCACCGGTAAAAACTGCACAGAGTCAGGTGAGCGACTTATTTCTGTAGGCATAGGTAAACATGGGGGTGTTCGTGACAGAATGTTGTCCTTTTAGCTCTTTAGAACATACCTCATTTTGATTCCTGAATTGCCATATTTTTATGATTATTAAACATGGGTAAGTGCGGTAATAGATAGCAATGATTAACCCAATGAAGCCAGTTTGAAACCTTTCGGAATTGAAGATTGTTTTATAGCCCAGAGTGAGTGAGTGACTGAGTGAGTGAGTGAGTGAGTGAGTGATTTGGGTTTAACGAAGCTTTTAACAGTATTCCAGTTATATCACGGCGTGTCAGCTTAATGTTGGAGGAAATCCCGAAGTGATGCAGGTCTCGGACGTTTACCACTTCGGTGAAACCAACGAACACGGGCATGGTGCTGACAAACCTAGAAACATAATCGGGGCGAACCGGGATTCGAACCCACAATCATAGATTTCTGGCGTGTCCAAGGGACGCATCTCCGCACAGCGAATCACGGGGCCTTAGGCGACTGGGCCACCCGTGCCCCCTTATAGCCCAGAAGAGACGCTTTTCAATATGTGCTATCCTTATGTGAGTGTGCTGTTTCAGTTTGCCCTTCAGCTGCTTTGGAGTGTAACAGCCGAGGCACATGTGTACCCGTTGGCGAGGCACCCACGTGTGACTGTGACGAGGGGTTCTTTGGCGAGAACTGTGAATCCGGTGAGTGCACATAAGTTATTCAAACTGACTACATAGCCACTGTTAGCAATATTACAGTGGGGTGGACTCCAGGAATGGTACAATAGATCAAAACACAGTTGACATATTCTACCATGACACAATGAGAAAACAAACTCTTTAGTTATGGCGGAAATAATTATTGATGTGGCATCAGTTGACCCTGATATTTTTAGAAGGTTGAAAGGATTAATTCAGGGACCAGTATTAAGCTGCATATATGTTTGCTTTAGGTACCCAAACCATACTTTTCTCCATAATACTTGAACCTCTTCAATGAGACAAATAAGCCTGTAAGCATTATTTAAACTGACAATCTGAGAGAAAATGAAGCGAGCTTTGTAATGTTTTGTTACACATCACTATAATGTACACATCACTATAATGACGTCAAAGTATCGTGACACGGTAGACATGACGTCACAGCACTCGATTGAGTAGTGCCAAAAGTAAAACCGTGTTGATATTACTGAGTTTTATTGTACACTCTCTTGGTTCTTGTTCGTCAAGGGGCGGTCGGGTAGCCTAGTGGTTAAAGCGTTCGCTCGTCACGCCGAAGACCCGGGTTCGATTCCCGACATGGGTACAATGTGTGAAGCCCATTTCTGGTGTCCCCCGCCGTGATATTGCTGGAATATTGCTAAAAGCGGCGTAAAAACATACTCACTCACTCACTTGTTCGTCAAGTTGTCCGCCTGAACTATATTGCGAAACAGGCTGTATACAGTGTAGGAAGCGTAGGAAGCGCAACACGTTATTTAGCAACGTTAAATTGCTTATGAATAAATATTTTCTTTCACGGTAATGCGGTCATCAGCAAGACCATGGCCTAACATATATTCTATACCTCTGGCGGATCAATTGGAATGCAGGATTCTAAAATAGTAGAATATTAGTTGCCACAGGTCCCTCTGCCTTAGGAGCCTCTCAATTGAAAATACTATAGGTTTAACTCCTAAAAGACGTCTGTATGTTCGTGAAACAACGCTACACAAATAATTATATTCTTGTATGATTTCGAGTTGATGAAATATGGTATAGTCTTCTAAGACTTCTCTTTGTTTTCCCAGAAGTTGTAAACACTGAACAATATAACGTTATGTTTAATATGCACTTGTGGTATATTTTTAAACCGTTTCTTTTGCTTTACAGAGGTGCCCCCATGTGGTTTACCAATTACCTCACGTATCTTTGGCGGAGAAGATGACGTACCATCCGCTAACCCCTGGATTGTCAAAATCGTCCAAACTATCACTGGCGATGTGTTCTGTAGCGGAACCCTCGTCGGTGCGGAATGGGTTGTATTAGACGGCTATTGTGCAGTATTGTAAGTGAAATGATTAAAGCGCATTGAGTTACGCAGTAAGTTGAGATCGCGAGAACCAAGGGGATCGATCCAGGGTTGGTATAGGTTTACCTAAATGCGAGCCCTGGATATATGTGGTAGATTGGTAATCGATATGTCTTTGTCACTCAAATACTACTATCAAATCCAGCAGAAAACTTGTTATGGAGTACTTTCAAAAAGTATGACGGTGCCAAAGAAAATCTTTCACTGATTGCTTTTGATAAAGCCCAATACGGATGTGTAACAGGATCCGGTGACATGGAAACGTATAGGAAGTTGCATGTAAATCGTTGAGAGGTCTTTTGACAAATTGTCATGGACCCGAGTGAAGAAAAAAAACCATGGTGCCTCTAGGTCAGTTCGTATATGTATACTGCGAAAACTATGATGAAGCATGTCTGGTTTGTCTTTGAGTCCACATGAAAATAGGTGATGCCACATGGTTTGGCCTTCTATTTTATTGTGTAAATATTCAATCTTCACATTCGTATAACTGTTATAACATGCGGAGATTATTCCTGTATTTCAAGGCCAACTCAGGAGATAATCTTACTTTCTCTACTTTGGAATGATTTGAGAAGTCTTAATTATCTAAAAGTTAACGCTTATGGGTTAGAATTGGGAAATCAAACAACTCCAACTTAAAGTTATTATGGAACTAGATAATGAAACTATATAAACACAAGCAATGAATTCAGCATAGGTAGTTTTTGTTGCATACAAATGACGTTGGAGGACTTTCAGTTGGGCACATCCAATTTATATTATTACTGCAGTTTTACCAGTGAGAGGGAATAGAAGACGAATGTGATTTGTGTTACCAATCAATTCGTTGTTTATATTATGCCAGTTGCAATGGTGGTTGTCATGTCTTGCTGGGAGACTACAATGGAACAGTAGAAGAACCCTCTCAGCTTATCAGGAACATGAGCGTCACTGTACACGGGAGTGCTGGCTTCAGCGACTTCGGATCGTTAGTTGCTTTGAGTGGTGATACTCTAGGATACCTACGTACGTATTGGTTTTACTTTACTTGCCATGTCATCACATTTCATAGCACTGAGAGAGAGAGAGAGAGAGTGAGAGAGAGAGAGAGAGAGAGAGAGAGAGAGAGAGAGAGAGAGAGAGAGAGAGATGTAATCTCAAAGTAACTCTAAGGCCATTGTTAGATCCAAGGTCAGAGTATGTACGGACCACTTTAGAATTCCCACAAGTCCTAAACCTAAATATGCACAAATAATCTGAATCTGCACTCTAAATGGTCGGCATAGGTCGAAAGTTGTGGAGAATGGAGCAATACTGCCCGAAACGCCATTGGAATCCATGTAAGAGATTCATATTAATTGTTATGTTTACTTTCACCTTTTGGTTCCATTACTGCTTACAATTTCAGCTTACAACGTGGCCTTGGGACGACTTTCCGAACCCGTTGACTTTACCATTGGAGTCCTACCCGTGTGCCCACCGTCTGATGCTTACAATGTACTTCGTTCCCCCAGGAACTGCAAGGTAGCAGGATATGGCAAACAGAACGCAATAGATGGTACGTTTAGACATTGTATTAATCATTGCAGTAAAATTGCGAATAATCCGCGGATGTCCATGGATATCTACGAAAACTGATTTACACTTTTATTGCCCTCATTAGGAGTTTTATGGATTGTGTAACTAATGGGAGTATACCGTGACTATCAAGCTGTAAATTGCGTGGCGGGCGGTGGCAAAACTCTCTTATTAAATACGGCTTTAATATTAATTTATGATGCTACACTGTAAATGGATTGCAGGTAATGTTTGGTAAATATTCCTGCCACAACAATGTTGTCCCTAAAACTCTTTTTCACATGAATAGTTGGTTAGATAACAGATAGTATCATCAGTTTTGCGTGAACCACCCTTTGGTTGAATGTGGTTACTAGTAACCCAAACCATTTGAAAATGACACACTTGTCAATTAATTATATGAGTTGTACAAATTAAAATATGATATTTGAAAGATACGCGTACACAAAATGTAAGCGACCTTTGATGTTGACTCGAATTGTACACTAAGTGTTGCACATTTAAAGTATCGGAGAGACACTGTTAAATCTCCCGATTTCTATATTTCTTCTACTGCCATGTTTCAATTATCTTGGATCAGAAACTGTTTTCTGATCGTATGTCAATAGTTTTCATCGTGAAATAATAATTCCATACACTGGTTGCTGGTTTCGTTATGAAGGTGCAACCATTTCTACACAATATCGTTTTTGGTGAGTATTGTGGCTTCCGGGAACTATTTAGAGGGTATTCGAGATTCAGCAGTGTGCTACGCGGGGCGCAAATATAATCGTATGCAAATTCCACATTTAAGGAACGTAATAGCTAATAACATTTCCTTTATATACGATATTTTATTTTTGTATTATTTTCAGTCTTGATTCAGGGGATAGAGGGATGGGTGGGGTTTGGCACTCTCAGGTTTATGTTGCAGTCCACATAACTCTGGAATCCCATGGCATCATCAAGAGACTATTAAATATACAACCAGTATTCTGTTTCCAGTGGAAGGTTACGCCAACTCGACACTCGGCGTCCGCCAGGTTCTTGATGCGACCATTCTTGATGACGCCATATGCGGCTTTTTGAGAGACCCAGCTCCACCTACGTCAACTCACTGCGGCTTTTCGTTAAGTGACGCCGTAGTCTGCAACGTAAGTATAAACGCACCTAGCATGATAATTGACTCCGGTAGAAAATCGTAGATGAACAGCAATCTCATATATTTATGTAAAGTGTATTTATGTTCAGGGTAGTCAAGATTCCATGATGACAACATTATAATAATAAAGTATGTTTATGATCAGGGTAATCAAAATTCCATGATGACAACAAAGTGAAGTTGTACTTTTGAAAATAAAAGTTTGTCCATAGAAATTTCAATGATATATCAAATTCAACTCAGGGTGACAACGGGGCTGCTTTGGTCTGCCAAAACGACACTACAGGCGTCTGGACAATTGAAGGAACTGTAACCTATTTGCCAGACAACGCAGAAAACTCTTGCGCTCGTACTTTCTACATCACTGACATGACTATGGCTTGGACCTGGATTCAACAGCAGATAGATTCGGCAGCGCCATAGGCGGCTGTTACGAACACGCCGACGGCTTCCCGAGGGTACAGACAGGAGGCAAGCAGGGACCATTGGTTAATTAACTGCAATGTACATGTCAGCAACAGTACGTGCTTCCCAAACTGTTAACTAAACAATAAAATATGCATTTCATCATCGTTTTATGTTATCATGTGACCTTTGAAAATAAATTCAAGCTATTAACAAGTATATATATGAATTTAAGCAACAAGTCAAGGTCGTTCATTGTTAACCTTGACTATTAAATCACTCGATATTTTATAGAAAGTGTGTGTTGTTAAATGCCGAACTTTTAAATAATCGAATCTGGACCAGACAATCCAGTGATCGATATTGTGAGTAGCGATCCATGCTGTCGGGGTACGATTGTGCGCAATTACCCAAGTCACCGAGTCTGACCTGATTGTTTTGTTGTCTCTTACGACTAGCATGCGTTTTAATTTGGTTGCCGGGGACCTATTCTGACCTGGAAACCCCACGGTCTGGGAGATTGAGTTCAAGTGCTACAAAGAATGAGGTAGGATTAGACCCTTTTGCTCTACTCATAATGTAGAATGTTAAATTTACGAAAATCTTTGAAGAATCAATTTTGACAACCTTTTTTCTCACTTACACATTCAAGTTTTGGACGTCTGGCATGACGACGCCACTGAAAGGTCTAAAATGTGTGAAAAATGTCAATTGTTTCCAACTTTAAGAAAAAAACAATTATAGGCCAGTCAATGACACAGGACGATACTGTCGTTATCTGCACCTAAGAAAACTGCATGGCCAAAGACTTGTTCCTTATTTACACGTTTAGCACTATGTTGTACACAAAGAAGGTTAGGGATCATAGATGTGTTTGGGATATGTTCGTGGATTTCTTGCAGATATCCCCATAAATATTCATGATCCCTAACTATATATATCACGGCAGCCTGGTCCACACAAACCAATGAAAATACGAACAGCGATTCACTTGAAGTACTCGCTCGGCAATTAACAATGCATGATGAGTACTGGTATGTCCTTAAGTTTTTTGTTGTTTAACGCCGCACTCAGCAAATATAACATCTATATGACGGTGGTCTGTATATAATCGAGTCTGGAAAGACAATCAAGTGATTGATATCATGTGCATCGATCCACGCAATTGGTATAAGATGACATGCATCAACCAAGTCAGCGAACCTGACCACCCGATCCCGTTAGTCGCCTTTTACGACAATCATAGGTTGCTGAAGACCTATTCTAACCGAGGTCGTATGTCCTAATGACAAAACACCACACACTTACAGACTTCAAAATTTACACTTTCTTAGAAAGAAGGTCATACTAACACTCCAAGAAAGCTACATGGTACTGTGACAATCGTTCAGGGCTCAAAGCGATGTTATAGCACTGAGGTGATCTTAACTCCCAGAATTTAACATAAGGCTTGCATAATACAATTTTTATTCCTAATATGCGATATCTAAGATATGGAATCCTACTCGCCTAATGATCTCCATTTACCGTTTAAGTGATGTAAAAAAAGTCTTTCGAACACAACACAACAGACATGCACACATATTCCACTGGTATTACATGTAGCAAACAGCTAGATATTCTATATTGGAAGCTATCACTATGTCTATAGATATGTCGGTTTGCACTGCGTTGTTAAAAATGAATAAAAACAATTTGTAGGTCAATAACGATTTTTGCGATACGGAACACACTCCTCTTATACTCTCTATTGGTCGTATTAGTGATACAGGATTTCGAACACTATACATGGCAACTGACATGCACACATTTCCCACTAATATTAATGTGGTTGCTTGTACTGGTCCGGATTTATGCCGGTTTTTATAGTGCTAGCCCACTGAGATACCACTGTTTAACACGCTTACCCTACCCTGACACGGAGCCCAGCAGCCCTTGTTGTATCCCGTTCATGCCGAGCGCCAGGCAAGGTAACACGTACCACGGACCTTATAACGTCCTTTGGCATGAAGCGGCCAGGGGATCTGCTCTCTGGACAGACACACAATCCACTCGATATGGGAGCTTGATATGGAAGCAAAATCAGAAGTAATGAGCGTCTGGTGAAGTCAACGAGCACGGGTATGGTACTGACAAACCTAGAAACAGAATCAAAGCGAATTTGGAATCGAACCAACGATCATGTTTCTGGCAAGCTTGAGGGACCCAGTGTGTTACGGCCCCATGGATGACTGGGTCACTGGGTCAAACAGGAGACAGATACAGGAAAAGGGACAAATTACGGAAAGGAAATAGATAATAAAGAAAGGGGCGTTCCTTGGCAAGTAGCCAGAAGAAATATCATCATATGACATCATTTACACAAAGGGCTTCCAAATGTAAACAAGTCAGTTGAAATTATCACCAATCTAGAATCCATGGCTCTTGTCAGAAATGGTCAGGGAATCCTGCATTTAATGTGTAAGTATACTGTGACTGGAAAAATATATCATTAAAATATGATTATTTGATCACTTAAAGACTCAAAACTCAAAACTGTAAATGGCAATTGTTTCCTGTTTTCAGTATGTTTTCTCTGACCTATGACGAAATTAACTCAAAATATCTTTTAACTGAAATTACACTGAAATACTCACGCCAGGATCTTTCTGATTTTGACATACCGAACTTAATTTATAGTCCAAAGAGTAAATAAGTTAAAACGTAGCATGATAAGTTGAAGCCAAACGTTTGGAAAGCACAACTCAGCACAAGTTAGAATTCGAATAATTTGAATAAAATACATACAGATTCATATGTGTAGAAATGGCGCATGCTTCTGTGTTTGTGTCCTGTTACATGAATGTTATTTATCTAACACGCACGTTTGGTACGTATGTTTTTTTTGGTTGTCCGATGGCCAGATCAGACGGTAATAAAGTTAAAGCGGAGGTGTCGAACCCCGGATTAGTCGAACTATTTATTTGGTCCCAAGGATATTTAGACAAAAAGGTTCGAGTCTAGTTACTTCCGGTTGACTCGCGAAAGGGAGTTTGGGTTACCACTATTGGGTATAATTGGCCTCAATATATACCCAATTATATAATAACTTAATTAATATTAGAAAGATTTTCAAGAGTATATTCCCTACTTTCAAACACGTTTAGATTATCAACATGCTTGTATGTTTAACAAATTTAAATCGTTTACAAGTTTATATATTTCGGATGCTGCTGATATACAGTGGTAGATTAGTCTTTTTCGTGTATTAAGAATCTATTTTAATCAGATTTAGACTAAACACACGACCCCTTTCCGTTTAGGATAAAACGCCGCCTCACACGTTCAGGCTGATTGAACAAGTCCGAACTAATGCCGAGTTTATAATGCTGGGCCACTGAGGCACCATGCCGTAGTTTAACATGAATACCCCACTCAGACACAGTATACTGACTCCGAGTCCTTGTTTAAGCTCCTTAATGCCGAGCGCAATACAGGGTAACAACAGGCACCATATTTTAACGTCTTTTGGTATGACGCGGCCGGGGATCGAACCACGAAACTTCCACACTCCAGGCAAACGCTATATCGACTATACAACGGTTTATTACGTTTAGAGCTGAACATATATATGTCCAGTATGTCTTTAATATTTAAGCACATATTTTAAGAATATTTCAGTTATATCACGGCATGTAGGATCAAATCCAGAAGTGATGCACGCCTTACTTCTAAAAGTTTTTTTAAATTATACGTTTCCTAAAAAATGAACGGATGATAAAATATCAGCTTAAACAGTCCAGCAATTTCGTGGGATCCATAAAGAACTAGGTACGTTTTTTTGAGAGTATTTAGATAAGACAAGACAAGATTTATTCAGTGATTAGGCCTCCAGCCCAAAATACAATAATATATACATGTTATATAACCTGCATTAACCTGAGTTTATATTTAACGTCACATCGGCATTATTTCAGCCATATCGTGACGAGTGCATGGATGAAAGTTTGCTATGTATGTAACCATGATTATGACACAAGTCATGTTTATGAATGAATACAGTCAAATATTTATGCTTAGACCACCCAATTGTCTTCTCTTATACTTTTAGCAAAGACTTTCCAATAGATATTATAATATTTTTATCTGTTGATGACAATAATTATAAGAATGTTAAATAATCTGAGCAATGTGTTAAATATGAGGTATTGATTTCTGACGGTCTGGTATCTTGGGCATATGATGAGAACATGACATTCATTTTCAAAAATGGATTTATCAAGGGAATTACAGAAGATACAGAGTTTTCATAGCTAATATTGAGATGTTTATCTTTTTCAACTGTAAGTCTAAATGTGTAATCTGAATTTGCATTTGGAATTTGTAAATAGTTTTATTGAGTGGATCGATAGGTCATAAGAGAGATATAATTCAGGGGTTAATAAGGATTTATACTGTTTGTAATAATTACATTTTGGTGACTACATTAATGGTGGAGTGCCAGTTTTGAGTAAGACAGTCTCTTAATCTTTGTTTCCATTTAGAAAGTAAGTGGTATCCAAACAATAACAAAAGCATACTCAAATAGAATATTTTTAATATTTGATGCCCATGTTATTCTTCCACTAACATTCGAGGATTTTAACGTCACATATGACTGATGTGGAAGTCTCTCTGTATTCAAATGCACCAATATTGAATTGCTCTACACATGTCAAGTAGGTGGACTGCAAAAGTAATCTGGGACATTCACCTGAAGACACACTGTTATTTGTGTATTTACTGAGACTAAGATGAGAGTATTTAAGAGCATGGTGTGTACAGCTCTATAGCCCTATTTAAGGTCAATATTCAGTATTGCTCGATTTCCATGTAAACCCAACTTCGAACTACACATATGTCAAAATTAATTACATTTTGAAAAACATGAAATGTTTTGTTCACTATTGATACCGTGTCGTTGATGTGTCTGGTTGGAGGACATGGTTGTTCAACGGTTGTATTTGACTGATTGTGAAGATAGAGTGTTAGAAAACTGAATAAAATTGTTGGTACATGTACTTTTGGTCAGATGCAATGCTATTGTGATGTGATACACATCTGTTTCCCCAAAGATATCTTGGAATCTATATAAAATACTAAAATAGGCTTCAGACGCTACACTTTTGTCGCCACAGACAACGACATTCAAACTTTATCACGACTGTAGGTAAGTTTGTTGTTTAACGCCGCACTCAGCAATATTCCAGTTGTATGACGGCAGAATGTTAATTATCGATCGAGACTGGACCACACATTTGATATTTAAAACAACGATCCAACAGTCGAGGTGCGATAGCACGCAATCAAACAAGTCGCCGGGACTGACAACCCGATGATTTTGAGTCGCCACTCATGACCAATTCTGACCCGGAATCTCCAGCAGGCTTCAAAGAAAGCGAGTTTTAACCAGGCCAGCCAGTGACTGCTAGAACGATCAAGGCACAACGCCATCAAGCAAAACCGCGGAGCCTGGCAGTCCAATACAATTTAGTCGCCTCTTACGAGCCGGAAACCTATTCTAACTCTCGTTTTAGCGGAGAAACTTTGTTTCAGACAGTTTGGAAAATGATTCAGGTGTATTGCGTCACTGAGGACATAGCCAACACATAATATTAATATCAAACGTTCCACGTTAATCTTCTACATATCAATATAATATTTCATACATTATGACGTATCAATGATTTATATGGCCACAAAAATTAATTTCGATATACAAAATAGTAATGTGAAGAATGACTCTATAAGTAGCCCATCTGCTTATCCATGGCTGAGCTTGGTGAAAATGATCTAAGTAATGTTAGACTACCACATGCTTACGACTACCCGTCATCCTGCTAAACACCATGGCTCGTCTCAAGGGCTGACGAGATTCTAATGGGGTCTTTACACATGATAAGTTTGTTCAAACTGTAAAAGTAGCAATCGCTTGAGTTCAAAGGGTTTCTGTAAAGGCCCATTTACACAGGGCTGCGACCTTTGTGCCACCTTTGAGCGATCCAAATCTGGCCAGGACGTTCAATGGTTGCCTAAATCCAAAAAATCGTGTTTCTATTTAACTGCTCAAGAAGTTGTTCAGCAGTAACTGCTCGAGTTGTTCAGCGATTGCAACCACAATGAAACACTGCAGGTACAAGCCCTCTATTTACAGGCAGGCTGAGGAGGCACTACAGGTAGCTCAAAGGAGGCAAAGTCTCAAGGGTTGCCGTGGTCGCCGAATGGAGGCACGGCGGTCGCCACAGTCATCGTTCAATGCACGCCAAAAAGAGGCACAGGGGAGGCAGAAGCATCGCCCAGATTGACGGGAAAATACCTGGCGACCATTGGGCGACCCTTATGCCTTCATTCTGCAACAACGGCAATGCTTGTGCCTCCCTTCTGCCTCCTTTGAGCCACCAACCTCCTCGGCGACCTTTGTTCAACTGTTTTGAACATGTTCAAACATTCACGGCGACCATGGCGTCCATGGCGATGTCTGAACCTCCTGTGTACCAACTTGGAACGACCTAGGCAACCATTCTGTCTCCTTTGAAGCCTCCAACCACGACCTGACAAATTTTATGGACGCACACGGGAGGCACAAATGTCGCCATCCTGTGTGAAGGCCCCATTATAAATAGTTAAAACAACTACACGAATTTGAAAGTTGTTTACTCCTGCCAAGTAACATGTCTTTGCCATCATAAACACCTGCTCATGATATAGTCGGAATCGTACAATCGGACAATCGTCGGAATCGTACAATCGACGGTATATATTTCTCATGAGTATGAAAATAATGTTGTCGCTTTTATTTATATCAATATGTTGTAAATAGTATTTCGCTTATGTACCACCATAGGAGGTCTTTGAGAATATAGCCACGTGAAGTTATCGAGCCTAACCATCAGATCCATTTATAGTCGCCCTTTACGACCAGCATAGGTTGCTGAGGACCTGTTCTCACGCGTAATCCCTACGGGGAATAAATAGTCAGATGTAATGCATCAGTGAGGACACAGGCAACATACGACATACTGTAAATAACAACATTAAACTTTCCACGCCAAGTCCATGAGAACATTCTGTCCCTCAAAATAATAATTCATACATTATGACGTGGCGCGCTGTGTGTGGCCACACGGATTACCTTCGTGGTACAGTGTAAACAGCTTGAGAAGGGGTTGATGTTTACATAATATAGGTGGGCTTGTGTTCGTCAGTGCTTAAATTGTGGTTAGTATGTACAGTGAGTCCATATTGATATATCTGTATAGTGTCCCTGGTATGTATGTGAAGTCTCTCCATGTTTGCAAAGGCTTAAAAGTGAAGTTTCCCCGTCAATTTAAATAATTCAATAACCACATCCATGTTTTCATCACTGTGCTATTTTTGAATGTCTCGTTATACTTGCTTCTTTTTATGAATACTTAGAAAATTGCAACTATTACAATACAACGACAGATCTGGTGGCAGATGTTCTGTGTGAACTGTACACATTTGATCTAAAGAGAATTGTATTTGGCTGTGCCATCGAGGATATTAAATCAGTGTTTAATTGTAAGGCATTTTCCTTAAGATTCACCGATTCGTGAACAGTATCAGGGTATTGAAAATACAATGTAATATTATTAGGCTTGATGTGCAGGTTGTTTACATGGGGTGTTCTATTGTTCACAGAAGCTGGTGAGAGTCATAGAAGGCCACACGCACAATGAGTTCAGGATGTAAGAGCTGCCCCTTTTACATCACTTCATGCGTGGCAATTTCCCCGACCTCTTCTTGTCCAAGATGAAGTTAGCTTTCACCGTAGTTGTGTGCGTCCTTGTGGGTATCGTCGAGCTTGGAGATTCCTTTGTGTTCAGATCACGTAAGTTCAGAATAATTGTTCCTTTAATAGATGGACAGAACAGCACAAAGACGAATTTAAATGTTCACAGGGCAATCGTTCATTTTGTTCAATGCTGGGATGGGATGGCTCAAGCACAAGGCTATATGCAGAGTATACTGTTTCTGTTTGTTTGATCCCGGAGGGGGGGGGGGGGGGGGGGGGGGGGGGGGGGGGGGGGGTCGTAAAGGGGTACAGTTATCTTTGCATCCCAGGATCCGCTTATTCGTCCTGGATATGATCCCAATTATGTTAAAATCTACATGACAAAAATGATCGACCTTCAAAATGGTGGAGATCTCATATATCGTGCTGATTTTGATTTTTGTGCAAAGCAGGAACGATAAGAATTATGACTTCGTTGCTAGAACTACACGACGAGACAAATATATGTCAGATACAAATTGACAAAACAAAACAAAACAAAACAGGTGTACATGTAGGTTTAATTGTTTTAGCTATTGCTGCAATAAACAGTACGTATCCTTGATTTGATCATATTTTATGAAATCAATACACCACTCGATGCTATTAAAAGGTGAGGTGAAAAAGAATTGGGTTTAACGTCGCGTCCAAGATTATTGCACTTATATAGCGACGCGCATGCACGTGTGTGTGTGTGTGTGTGTGTGTGTGTGTGTGTGTGTGTGTGTGTGTGTGTGTGACTGCTTGTATTAGTCCGGACTGATGCCGATTTATGCCAGCCCACTATACCATGCCGCAGTTTAAGGTGTTGTATTATTTATAGAACGTGACTATTTAGGTCATATTCCTGATAGTCTATTCATGATTCCCAACGTTCAATACGACGTCAGCGGTTGAAGGTTCCAGTCTTCGAAATAATGAGTGAGTGAATATAGTTTTACGCCGCTTTTAGCAATATTCCAGCAATATCATGGCGTGTCGAAGTAATTTAAAACACAACTGTATCATTATCAATATTTGTCACAGTTGCTAAAAGAGAAATAAAAATAGAAGTAAATATTTCTATTTTATTTATTTATTTATAAAACAAGTCTGTTAAAGATAGTCATCGAGCAAAACAGAAAAAGTATGTAAAGTTGTGTCATGTGTCTTTCAAACCCTTGTGAAATGACGTCTTGGCCGCTGTCTCTATCTTCGTTGATGTTTTCTTTTTCAGCATGTGAGACACAAACGCACACGTGCTATGTGAGTGAGTGCCCACCTGGTACCGAGTTTCTTGAATCCCTGTGCTTTGACAACAAAATATGTTGTATTGGAGTTAAAGGTAGGAATATCCTTATATAGCAATGCATGTAGAAATGTTGCAATCTGATTTACCGGTGAAGAAACGTTGTCCAAGTTAAGCACGGTTGATAACGGACAGTAGTTGGATGGGTGACCGGGGGTGAACGTGGCTCCTAAGAATTTCTAGGGCTTCGGGCCTGCTACATTCAATCTCATTAAAATCAGACCTTAGTTCTCGCTACAGCTAAACAAAGATCTGAAGACATCCCATTAGGAGTCACGACAGAACGACCTTTCATCCGACCAATCAGTGCGTCACTTACCAGATTATGAAAGTGACACTCGGAATGTGATTTCTAATCATGCAATCTCGAAAACTTTAACAAGGGGTATTCCGAACGATAGTGACTGGTTTAATGACTGATGCCTTACAATCTAGACCATCTATTAGTTATTCCAGAATGTGTTTTTGTTCAGGTTTCAAATTTGTAATCGAGAATTTGTCAAAATATGTTTCGAAGCGTAGTCGCCAATATGAAATGTGTGCCGTAAAGCACGAGAAAGCTGCCTTCTGATTGGTCATTCCATTGGTCAGTCAAAGTTCGCGCAAGGTCGGTCTGACGTGACCCGTAATGGGATGTCCTCAGATCTTTGTTTAGCGGTAGCGAGAACTTATATCTAATTTTAATGAGATTGTGCAACATTGAAGCAGGTTGTGTCGATTCCAATTTTTGTTCACAGCATGTTCGCCTACAAGTATGGACTGTATGTCAATGTCGCGATGGCATGGGCAAGTGACAGTGTTCGGAATATTATGTTCCCTCAGCAGTGAATGGGTACCCGTTAGGATGTGACCCCTAACCTCATAGCACCTCGTAGCAGCTTGGGTTGTATTCGGAGTTCAGAATTATATTCAAGAGCGAAATGCTCCATAAGCCGGGGTAATAAGGCTGTTGTCCTTCGGTGGAATCTAGCCCATAATAAATACTAGTATACTGTTTATCAGGGTCCCCTTCCTCTGCTTAGGGAATATTACCTCACATAAGATAACTACGCGATAAATCGTAAAAAACAATGAAGAACGAAGCGTTGTTTATTTCACAAGGAAACTTTGTTTTATCATGTTCAATGGCCGAACGATCGCATCGAATAATGGGAGACATACATGTATGTCAATCGGTATTTGGGAGAAAAGGTGCAGACAATGGACGTAAAGATTGTGAGAATTTCCGGAAAACCGAACTTAACCCCCTGTTCATAAAATGGTTTATTATTCAGGGAGTCATCATTGTTCACATCTTGTACATTTTATTAACACCCTTAAAGGGGTTGAAGATAATGTTGATAGCTTATATAACATTAATTGATTGATTGTTTCTTGTTTAACGCCGTTTTCAGCAATATTCTGTAAATAATCGTGTCTGGACCAGACAATCCAGTGATTGATATCATCAGCATCGATCCACGCAACTGGGATCGATGACATGCTTCAACCAAGTCAGCGAGCCTGACCACTCGATCCCGTTAGTCGCCTCTTACGGCAAGCATAGTCGCCTTTTACGGGAAGCATAGGTTGCTGAAGACCTATTCTCTACCCGGATCTTCACGGGTCTCTTCTGTTACAAATACACGAGTCGTGGTCGTTCTTCATCGTACAATAAAACACCGCGCCCCTCATGGTTTATTCTCCCTCAGTGCTTTTTATTGAACGATAAACAATCCCACGCGTCGTGTAGTTCTTCAATATAGCTATGCCACTCAGTAGCAACAATAACGTCATTATTATTATATCGTTATATTACATAATTATTAGGGCAGGAGTAGGTGAGCTTATTTTGAGTATTAACAATTAACAATTGTTCTCTTCTTTGCGAAGAGGACCACAGCAACGTCATGTGAAACGTTGTCGCAATTAATTGAAGATGGCGACCTCATGACGTCATGACGATTTATGTGACCTCATCTCAACAATATAGCAATGGAGCTGATGTCTCAATTTGAAATCAGGAAACCCGCATTTTTCTACATTTTCTCAGATAAAAGAATCTGTGTGATAGAAAGAATAACTCGAAATAACGGATTATCCGTCCCTCCTGAATTAGTGTTGAACGTTACAAAATAAATCCACTCTGGACAGATAATCCGCACTTACTCCTTGCTCGGAGTATATCTCGAAGACAGTTGTCTTGACACCAACATGATCCTCTTACTCTCTGTTGAATGAAATACAGCTGTATATATCACCAATGTGTGACGTAGCTTGGATATCAAATGAATAAAATGAATGTTTATTTTGTAGGCACACGTGTAATTATATGCAACCGTTTCATTCCTATGCATTTGACCATGACTCGTTTTCTCGAGAACCTCGTGGGGAGTTTGGGTCCCCAGTACCTATCACTTGTCCAAAAAGGCGCATAACTAAATGTAGGGGTGGTCAGGCTCGGTGACACGGTTGATTGTGGGTCAATTCATACCCAAACGGCGTGGTACGTTGCTCATAATATCACTCACTGGTTTGTCTAGATTATTTAGAGGCCACCGTAGTATAGCCTGATTGTTGTCAAGTGTGGTCTAAAAGAACTCACAAACTAAAAGATAAACATGATGTATCGTTAAAGTTATGAGAATCGACATGTCGCGTCATTAGTTCTCCCTGCTTGTACTTCAATTGTTCTGCTATTCCGTATCCTACTATTGACATATATAGCGAAAACTGTACTACATGCAGTGGTGTCAATGTTATGTTGTTGAAAATAACAACATCCACTCTTCAAACAAAGAAACGCTCAGGTAGTATACTAGCCACATAAAGAAACTGTACAGGGAGAAAATATAGATATAAGGGCACACCGTCCATATATGAAATATAGGTTTGAACACAGCAATTATTGAAGACATTCAAACGCTCATGCATGTGCCATGCGATATGACGTCATTGATGGGGGCCTATGGACGTGCAATGTGTTACTGCACGTGAATCCTGTGCAGCTGTACACAGCATGTGCAACTCAAAATTCGCTGTCACTTTGGAAAGCATGATCTGTGGTCACTCAAAAATTCAAAACTTCTCAGGCGCAGACACAAGCATATCACAAGCACATCATGCCAAGATTGCCAGCTGCATAGCGTCATGAAGCCATTGGAATGATCCGAGCGGGAATGAGGCAACAACAGGTGGCAACACATTTCCAATGCCATCGTAACACGATATCGGCATTGGTGAGGCGTTATCAGAACACAAATGACGTTGCCGACCACCCACGTTCAGGACGTCCCCGAGTAACGACTCCAAGACAGGACAGACGGATTCGAGTTACACATCTCCGACACAGGTTCCAAACGGCAGTAACGACGTCCCAGACAATTCCTGGACTGCGCCGTATCCATCCCAACACTGTCAGGAATCGTTTACGTCAGTACGGGATTCGACCACGGCGCCCTGCCATACGTCCCATCCTGACACACCGTCATCGAGTCAACCGTCTAAGATGGTGTCGAAATCATGTTCGCCAACCTCGAATATGGTGGAGAAATGTTGTCTTTACAGATGAATCGAGGTTCAACATTTCCCACAGTGACGGGCACCAACGTGTCTACCGGCGTTTGGGAGAACGTTATGTACGCAACTGTATTGTGGAGAGGAATCGTTTTGGAGGTGGCTCTGTGATGATTTGGGGTGGGTTAACAGCACGGCACCGAACCCCTTTGGTGGTTGTTCAGGGCAATCTCACCGGTGTTGGCTACAGAGATCAGATTCTGAGGCCTGTGGTCATTCCTTTCCTGCAACGTCATGGCCCGGGATTGACATTTCAACAGGACAACGCTCGTCCTCACACGGCTAGGGTCGCAATGGATTTCCTTCACCATAACAATGTCATGTTACTGCCATGGCCTGCAAATTATCCAGATCTCTCCCCAATAGAGCATGTGTGGGATGAAATGGAGCGCCGTCTGCGTCGTCTTCCACATCCTCCAGACAACGTCCATGACTTGGCACAGGATTTGAGAGGGGATATGGCAGGCCATTCCCCAGGCCTTCCATGCCCATTTGGTGGACTCCATGCGTCGCCGATGCACTGCTGTGATTCACGCACAGGGTGGTCATACCCGTTATTGACTTTGTGACTTTGTCGTTTGACCCCCTACTCCATTTTGATCTTCTGACGTCATCGTACCAGATGTTGTTCAGGTCCCGTTGACATTTTCTTATGGTCCGATCATTCAGCTGCTACATCGTCTACATCATTTTGTTCTTGCTGTGTTGTATTTCAATCCAGAATATATTTTCTCCGTGCACAGTTTCTTTATGTGGCTAGTTTATGTTGTTCACTGAACATGACTACATAAAACATCCGGTATATAAATTGAATATATGTTATTGGAAAATGTTGGTGGCCTGATATTCTACAAACGGTGCGTCAAAACACAGCCATTGTCCATTTGCAATGTCTTAAACGGCTTCGTTTTCACACTTGTTAAAAAAATGTCATGGAGGAAAACAGTAAAGCAAAATGCACGTGCAAGTTATGGTATTCGTAACTCGTGGTAGTGGCTATAAAAAGGCAAGTATAAGACAATAATTTGTCATTCAGTTGTCAACATTTTTCAAGTTCGAAAATGCCGACACTCAGCGCTGCCGATCTGAACATCGCCATAGGACGTATCCTAAGAGAGGAATCGCAGTCTTCTGTTGCGCGCTACATCAACGTCAACCACAGCACCATTTGCCGGCTTTGTGACCGGTACACACAGTTCAGTTCCACTTCAGACCGTCCGAGAACCGGCCGACCAAGAGTTACCACACCTGCACAGGATCGCTACATTCAACAGATCCATCGACAGCGACGCTTGTGTTGGTACCATACCTTACAGCCTTGGAATTTGAGAAACTGGAGACGAGTGTGGTTTAGCGATGAGTCATGATTTCTTCTTCACCGGCTACATCGCTACATGAATCAAATTCTTCAACCTCACCTTCATCCAATCCAGAGGGAGCTGTTTCAACAGGACAACGCTCCACCGTACACCGTCAACATCAACGGATTGCCCTGGCCGTCGAGATCTGGACCGTCGAGATCTCCAGATCTCAACCCAATCGAACACCTCTAGGATGAACTCAATCGACATGTACGTCCCCGTCAGAACACCCCGCAGACTCTCCCACAACTGACCAACGCGTTACAAGCAGAATGGCGCAGAATTCCGCAGGACAGAATTCGTACACTTATCCAGTCAGTGCCGAGGAGATGCAGAGCCATGATTGCTGCTCGGGTTCAGCGCAATCTTGTGGCCTTATGTGACATAACAATGACCATCTTTCCATGCCTTTGTACAACGACAACATGTGATTCTCGAGCTCCAAAATTTCATATATTTTCGTTTCGTTGTGCGTTTCTTTTTTTGAAGAGTGTAATATTTGGTCACTTCTCTGATCTTTGTTTATCATAGCAAATTCATTAACAAAACCCATATCTGGTAACAGGAGACAGGGAGACACGCCCCCAAAATAGGTGGTGTAACAACTCATATCGGGGGTGACACCATTTGCGTTGGTACAGGGGAGGTGAGGCGGCGCATTAAGGACGCCAGATGGTGGACAACAGACTGGGGGATGTTGTTCCTAAGATTGGTCCAACGGAGCTTGCGTTACCAGCTAGTTCCTGTCGCCCCATCTCCTCCATGACATGTTCTGGGGAGAGGTCTATAGAAACAGTTGGCCATGGCATTACAGCACGTTAAAACCGATGAGCTGTGTTCACCCCATACCATTCTTCTTCCACAACCAAACTGACGACGCTGAATAACAGAAGCGACACTAAAACGTTCTCCTGGACGCCAATAGACCCTCGCACGGCCATAAGAGATGAAACATCACGACCTTACAAGTCGAGGAGATGTCTTCATGAATGCGTATTGAAATATATATTATTTAAATATACTTTTTCCCGTTAGTGTACATACATGGTTGATGTCGTAAAGCAAAATATATCATAACGCGTTCACAAGATGTTTTCCGGCGGACTTTTGTATAACACGTTTTCACGCCATAGGACTCTCAGTCTTTGTAATATTACCGAAGGGGACATGACAAGCAAACATATGACCTTATATTTGTCATTCTATAAAACATGTATTCTCGGTTTCAGCGTGTTCCCCCGACACCTGCATTAACGGAACATGCATCATAAACACCTGCACCTGCCATCCTGGCTTCTCGGGTGCTAACTGCAACGTAGACGGTACTTATAGTTGATACTTATATATTGTTCCCGTTTACAAGCTGGTAGGAAATGATAACATCGCCACTTTTATGACACTATCTTGTGTTCTTGATTTACGATTAATGTGCTATGCCAATGAGTAAGAAATCGGATATGCATCTACTACTACTCTACGGCTTACAATATTTTTTTCGAAAGCAATAACTGATTTTTAACAATGTTTTGAGTAGATCTGAAGAAAAAGATTTGAAATATACGGTGCAATTGAACATGCCTATTTGTGACAAAAACACTATTTTCACATTACATTAGTGCCATACTCGAACTGCCAAACAGACCTGTCTGTATGTTTTCAGCTTGTGCAAGTAATTATAAATTATTTCGTATGCAATTGTCATGTCATGGTCACAGTGTTGTCAGCCTGTGCAATTAATGGACTCTGAATGTCATTGTCTCAATGTTTTCAGCTTGTGGAAGTAATTGGAAATTGTCTTAATGTGTTTAGCTGGTGCATTATCATTGTCTCAATGTGTTTAGCATATACAAGTAATGGGCTCTGACTGTCCTTATCATAATGTTTTCAGCTTGTGCAAGTAGTATACTTTGTATGTCCTTGTCTCAATGTTTCCAGCTTGTGCAAGCAATGGGCTCTGTCAGAATGGGGGAGAATGTCAGCGTGAGGCCACTGGAGCCAAGTACTCGTGCTCCTGTGCCCCAGGCTACGATGGCCTAAACTGCGACATTGATGGTAAATACCAGTCACTTTGGACAGACAAGTTTTAACGCAATTTCTGTTGTTGCTCTGCCACCATTTCCCAATCTTCTATCGACCTGTACTTAATGCTCTATAATTCTGTGTAGCTGCGGTGACGGAAGGGGAGGAGGATTGTGGTTTAACACCGCGTTCAAGATGGCATGCAATTGCAGATTAATCATAGTAAATATAAAGATCTGGAAGTACTAACCTTCTTTTGAGTAGTTTATAAATGAAGGAGCAACAACTTTGCAATAGTTTTTTGTTCTTCTAAATCCATTGGTGTGTGTTTAACATTCTTATATATGTTTCAGCTTGTGCTGAGGGCAGTGGAGCATGCGTCAATGGTGGATCATGTAACCGTCAGTTAGCTGAACCATACTATAACTGTTCCTGTCCCACGGGCTTCACTGGTGTCAACTGCGAACTTAGTGATTGTACGTAAACACCAGTGGTTGAGCACACTCACACCGTATTTCGGGTTTGACGTGGCTGACTGCATCTCAATTAGCACAGGTGATCATGCTATCCACCACTGGTTTGCCAGGTGCGAACGCGATAAGTTTCAGGTTATTTTGCTGGAATAATGCCAACTGCGTTGCAAAACAGTACCACAATTACTCAAAGAAAAAAAATTTGAAAGTAAAAGCTGTATACAGTTTACCTATCCCTTCACTTATCTCCAAATACGTATACTTTATATCAGCGAACGTGAATATAGATTCCAGATAGAAAGTACAAAACCGTTTTGTGTGTGTTTGTGTGTGTATGTTAGTGTGTGTATATATTAGTGTGTGTGTGTGTTAGTGTGTGTTAGTGTGTGCGCGTGCGTGTGTGTGCGACTGTGTGTGTGGTCACTTACCTATCTATAATATGTATTCCTGTGACGTCAACGGTGTTTTGTTCAAAGGTTTTCACCTACTCACATAGCTTAATTTTCACACATACAACGTCTTTACCGTCATCATCATTAGTCTACTCCTTCAGGTGATTGTCACAATGAGTGATACGTGATATTGCTACGAAACCTTTACTTAATCAAATAATCAAAATACTGAACCATATTTCTCAATGAGACTTGCCGATAAAAATATTCACTGAGTATGTTTTTTGGCCCCGTTCCTTAAAACGATCGTAGCTCTACGACAGTCGTAAGTCTGTTTTAAAGTATGGGAGTTACGATTACCATAGCGCTACGGCAATCGTAAGTCTATGCTAAAGTATGGGAGTTACGATGACCATAGGGCTACGACAGTCGTAAGTCTATGCTAAAGTATGGGAGTTACGATGACCATAGCGCTACGACAGTCGTAAGTCTATGCTAAAGTATGAGAGTTACGATGACCATAGGGCTACAACAGTCGTAAGTCTATTCTAAAGTATGGGAGTTACGATGACCATAGCGCTACGACAGTCGTAAGTCTATTCTTAAGTACGGGAGTTACGATGACCATAGGGCTGCGACAGTCGTAAGTCTATTCTAAAGTATCGGAGTTATGATGACCATAGGGCTACGACAGTCGTAAGTCTATGTTAAGAGCTGCGATCAACCTAGCGTTACGATTGCTTTGTGTGAATGTGTGAGTGGCAGATGCTACTGGCAGGACAGGACATGCTTACCCTTTTCGCGAACATCTGGTGTCATCACTGATTTTCAATGGTCCATTCATATAATTTTCACAGCCAGTATGCCCTTTTCGGCAGTTATCTAGACTGGTTATTCTCTTGCATTGACAATTTATACATATTTTAAGGAACGACCCCCAGTGTCGTAAGTACCGTATGTTTGGTATTATATTTGTTTTTTAGGGTAAAAATCTTGCAAACTAGTTTACGTCTTCACTGAATAAAGTTACTTCAGAAACAGCAAATGAATGCAAGGCCTAAGTAAACTGCCCCATTTATCACATAGCAGCTATGCTGGTCACAGAAGCACATTCTTCAGGAACTTACCATCGAGCAGTGAGCCATTACACCGATGCCCTGGGCTAATATATAGAGAATCTCATCCTCGTGTCTTTTGATAATCAAATATATCAACGCAAGTTGATAAAAGTGGGAAAACTCCGAGGCTTGCCGAGGATTTTTTCCATTTTTATCAACGAGTGTTGATATATTTGATATCAAAAGACACGAGGATGAGATTTTATTTATCATCCAACATCATTCGTCCAACTTTTTAAGTTTGTAGACAGTAATAAGCAGTGTCTTAAGTGTAAAAAATACTGCTAACAGCTTCAGTAGCAGAGCCATTAGTGATGTCATTTTGATTGTGACGTCATGGTAACCATTGACGTCACAATGGTTTGCAAAGCATTGTGCTGCAATTTCATTGCAGCGATATCTATAGTGTAGATATCGCTTGATCTCACCCAAGCGATATCTCCTGTGAGAGCCAGTTTTGGATGATAAAATTAGTTCCAGCCCTGTGGCCTTATTCGTATATATTTCGGATCACTAAAGCCAAGTTTAATGGATTGGTTTTACAGCATCACTGGCATCATCAATTATATGACGAATGTATGTTTCAGCGCATGTGATATTTTGGGGGCAAATCTTTCCAATCTGTCTTGTAGCTGTCCCACCTTGCGGAATGCCCGTGGCGTCACGTATCTTCAGCGGATCCGCTGACACAGCATCACAGAATCCATGGCTTGTCAAAGTGGTCCATGATGCCGGATTCGTTTTCTGTAGCGGTGTCATCATCGATAGGGAATGGATTGCCCTCGACGCATTCTGCGTTGTGATGTAGGTGTCGACACAAAGTGAGTGAGTGAGTGAGTTGGGTTTAATGCCGCTTAGAACAGTATTCCAGTTAAATCACGGCGTGTCAGCTGAATGTGGGAGGATAGCCCGAAGTGGCCATACCGGACTGGAATGTTCCCCACACAGTATATATATATGGTTGAAGCATGTCATCGATCCCAATTGCTCATGACATCAATCACTGGATTGATATATCAATCATCGGCTTTCCTGGTCCAGTCTCGCTTATAAACATGCCGCCGTCAAAAGCTGGACAATTGCAGGGAGCAACGTCAAACAACAAATATGTTTTATGTCCTAGCTGTTAACGTTTATGGTGTCCAACGTGTATGATCTATTTCTTTGTCTGAAGCTAAACCTTATGCATTTCCATATGTAAATTTTAGTAATGAATTTTGAAATAATGAGAATATCTGTCTCTTTGACTTTTCAATATGCATCTATTTTCTTGCTGTGTATTTTGATTAATCTATTGACAGCTGTGGTGGTTTGTGCCATGTCGTGATCGGAGACTACGATGGAGCCACGGTTGAAGCGCAGGAGCAAGTGAGGAGCCTGACCAGCTACACTATCCACCCACAGGCTAACTTCGAGGACCTCGCTTCGTTCGGTACTGTGACCGGAGCTGACCCAGATGCTGGTTTGGGTAACTATGTAACTTATTCATTATTGGTATTCAATCTCAGTCGTGGTCGACGATGTTGCAAAAGAGGCTTTTATCCAAAACTGCTGCAACTAATGTTCTTTTAACTCAGGATAAAGTTTGGAAAAGGTTTTAAACAAAATTGGAAACTGCTGAACAAAGTTTAAACATCTCATTTATCAGGAATAACAGGGAGCAGAAAGTTTGAGCGACTTGGTAAGGTATCATTAACCATGATTTTAACCAAGACTGTAGACGAGTCACACTGTTTGAAACTTGACGTCACATCAACCTTACGTCATTAACATTTGTTAACATATATTAATTTGTCTCATATATACCAGCTACTATTCGATCCTAAATTCATGCTGACATTTATACTGTTGAATATGAAACCAGGTGTCCCGTTGCAATCTCTTTTATATGTCATAGTACCGATCATCGTTTTTTTCTTATAGCACCGCTAACCATAATCATTATATTTCCATATAAAAACGATTTAAAAAACAACCGCTACCTGTATTTATTTTCTGACGACAAACACACCTGTTTGTACCATTTTCGTGAACACCTGGTGCCATCACTGATTTTCAGTGATACATTAATATAATAAATTTAACCGTTATTTTCTCTTTAACGCCCGGTGGAATCTGTTTCGGCTGATAATCGAGACTGGGTGTTCTCTGGCATTAACGTTATGTATGTATTTGTAGAAAACTACATATGCAGAAACTGAAATCGATTATCAAATGACATGTTTTGTGACTGTTCCATTACAGTAGTTAATTGACAACCCTTCCAAAAACTTCATCTACTTCTCCGCATCATACGACATGACCCTGTCCTTGCATTACTCTGGAGGAACATACACTGTTCTTGTACCAACCTTTCACCAGGTGTCGGTGATAGTGAGGTGAAATGGGGTTTAACGTCGCGTCCAAGATTATTGCCCTTATATAGCGACGTGCTTGCACGTGTGTGTGTGTGGCTTGTACTTGTCCGGACTGATGCCGATTTTATAGCGACACAGTATATGGACACTGAGCCGACCATTCCTTGTTTTAACCCCTTAATGCCGAGCGTCAGGCAGGGTAACAACAAGTACTATCACTGACCGTCTTTTGGTATGACGCGGCCGTGGATTGAACCCCGGACCTTCAGCTCTCCCGGCGGACGCTCTACCATTAGACCACGCACGGAGGCGGTCTGTATCGTAAAATGTCTGTAAACATTTATCAAAATAATTGTAACTTCATAAGAAATATATATTTCCAAAACATACAAGTTCGGATTTTATGAGCAAAAAGAAGTAATGTCTCATATTTCTTCCAGGCGTGTCAATAACTCACTGGGGTTGAGATTCCTCTCTTATGCAGGCACATTATGACTTTCATTGTTTATTAAAGTATACTCAACTGGTATTTCACTCAGGGATTGGCTTTAAGTTGCGTCCCTTAAACCAGTATCATATGAAGATGGGTTCAAATCTCAGATTCGCCCTGCGGTCTTGGTTTGTATACTCCATACCCGTGCTTGTGGGTTTCACCAAATGGTAGACCTCTATGACCTGCATCACTTTAGACTATATTCCTCCACCAAGATGACCCTATGTTATACAACAGAAATAAAATTCAAGTGAGTGTGTTTTATTTTACGCCTTTTTTGGGCAATATTCAAGCAATATCACGGCAGGAAACACAAGAAATGGGCTTCCTACATTGTACCCATGTCGGGAATCCGAATCTTTGGCGTGACGAGCGAACGCTTTAACCACTAGGATGGCTACCCGACCGCCCCGGAATACTGTTCAAATGGACATTATACCAAACACCCACAGTGATAACTGATTGTGGAATATGAACCTTACGTGGATTATCTCAATGCCTTTTACTTGCAGCTTACAACGTGGCCATTGCACGTCTTTCGGCACCCATTACGTTTTCGGACAGAATCAACCGTGTGTGCCCACCATCTGATGCGTACCATGTACTCCGGTCACCAAGGAACTGTGTCATAGCAGGGTATGGCAAACAAGATACGGCAGGTGTGTTTAATTCATGGTTAACCCTGAATGTATGTTAAAAGGAGCTGAGGAGATAGAGAGCGACAGGTGAGGTGAAATGGGGTTTAACGTCGCGTCCAAGATTATTGCACTTATATAGCGACGTGCATGCACGTGTGTGTGGCTGCTTGTACTAGTCCGGACTAATGCCTATTTTTTAGTGCTACCCATTGAGATAACATGAATACCCCACTCAGACACTGTATACTGACTCCGAGCCGACCAGTCCTTGTTTTAGCCCCTTAATGCCGAGCGCCAGACAGGGTAACAACAAGTACCATCTTTTAACGTCTTTTGGTATGACGTGGTAGGGGATCGAACCCCGGACCTTCCGCTATCCGGGCGGACGCTCTACCATTAGACCACGGAGGCGGTCTACGATGACTTGAATCAATAACCACCTTACCACCGGGTCCGTTCAGTCAACCATAGCTTGCTGGGTACCTCTATTCTCACCTTTAACCCTCACGGGACCTCATTTCACGAGGAACTTCCCATTGTTGAGAACATCCGATGATTGTGCTTAGAGCCGACTAATTTTGGGACGTATGCTAGTATGTTGTATAGGGTATCATGTGCATATGCTAGTGTGTTGTATGCTTCAATCGATACCGAGGTTAAAATAATTATGATAAGAGCTTCATCTTAACCCGAACCTGTTAAGGAGCCTTGGTGTGTCAGCATCATCCAGATGCTTCATCACACTGGCAAACGTCAGCGTCACGGTGGGTGGTTTCCTCCGACATTAAGCTGAAACACTGTGACATGACTGAACTAGTGTTCAAGAAGGTTCTGGGGGCACGGGTGGCCCAGTCGTCTAAGGCGCCGCGATTCGCTGTGCAGAGTTGCGTCCCTTGGGCACGCCAGAAACCTATGATTGTGGGTTCGAATCCCGGTGTGCCCCGATTATGTTTCTAGGTATGTCAGCACCATACCCGTGCTCGTTGGTTTCACCGAAGTGGTAAACGTCTAAGACCTGCATCACTTCGGGCTTTCCTCCCACATTAAGCTGACACGCCGCGATATAACTGGAATATTGTTAAAAGCGGCGTTAAACCCAACTCACTCACTCACTCAAGGGAGGTTCTCATTTCAATCACTCACGCAGTCATATTCAAACAAGAAGTATTGAAGCCAGGATGCCTTTTCAGAGAGCGTGCATCTATCGACAACCAGCATCCGCAAGGTCATTGATACACTGTTGATTGATGACAGCCTCTGTACCATGATAAGAGGGAGATCTGTTCAACCAGCAGCTACTCACTGCGCTTTCCTGACCACTCCAAATTCTGGACTTTGCATCGTGAGTAACAACCAAACTAGGCGTGGTTTCTCAACCATGTACACATTTCCGACATGTTGACATCTATTTTTACTTATGTTAAACTCCGCCTAGATTACTGTGTTAATGTAATACTGTGAATATGACTGCTTGTTACAAATTAATCATTTTGATGGCAGACACCGTTGGCAACAGTGGAAATTAAGAAACAGAAACCATATAGAATGACACAATTCACGTGCAGATGATTTTAAAATAGGATCGATTAACATGAATCGGAACATCCGATTTCTGCACAAAGTGTGTACCCAAGTGGTAGTCATTGATAATAAACACACGAAATTTGTTTGTTTGTTTGCTGTTTAACGCCGCACTCAGCAATATTCCAGCTATATCATGGCGTTCTGTAAATAATCAAGTCTGGACCAGACAATCCAGTGATTGACATCATGAGCATCGATCTACCCAACTGGGATACGATGACATGCATCAACCAAGTCAGCGAGCCTGACCATCCGATCCCGTCAGTCGCCTCTTACGACAAGCATGGTTGCTGAAGACCTATTCTACCCCGGATCTTCCCGGGTGCCACAATTAGTACCTTTTGGTTTGTATAACTCACGGAATTCAAATGAACCCTACTCTGTGTATAGGCAATACCCCTGCCTGACACTGAAACATTCTTTGTTTGTTTGTTTGTTGTTTAACGCCGCACTCAGCAGTATTGCAACTATATGACGGCGTCCTGAAAATAATGTCTGGACCAGACTAACAAGTGATTGACATCATGTGCATCGGTCTACGAAATTGAGATGTGATGACATGCATCAACCAAGTCAGCAAGCGTGACCACCCGATCCCGTTAGTCGCCTTTTACGACAATCATAGGTTGATGAAGACTTTTTCTAACTATGTTCGTCAGGTTTTTTTTGAGCATTGTGTAGATCAGGTACCAGAATACTGTTACAGATGTTGAATACCATGTTCAGCGAGAAACAACGCTGTATGTGTCAATTAACTGAGCGCTGATTGGTCAGAGTAGGCGCTAGTTTCCCTCGAAACCTCGAACCAGGCCGTTGGCTGATTCGTTGGTTAAAAATAGCCAGTAAACTGCAAAGCGGTCGTATGTACTCAGCATAGTCGAATAGCGTTAAACAACAACGTTACCGATCCTTATCAGTTAGAGAAAATGAGGAAATTTTAGTATCGTATCAAATTCTCTTCAGGGTGACAACGGTGGTGCTTTGGTCTGCCAGAACGATACCTTGGGTTTCTGGACAGTAGAAGGCATCCTCTCATACCTACCTGATGGCAGCAACGGTGCGTGCAGTGGTCAGATCAATGTCTTCACTGACATGAATGCGGTTTGGAGTTGGATGCAAACCGTCATCGCGGCGGCAGTCTGAGCAACATACGTCAGCACAAGTTACTAATGCATTATGACAAATATATGTATGCCATCAAAGTTAACGATTTAAGAATAAAATGTGCGTTTCGTCATTGTTTTGTATTATAATATGTCACTAGATGAGGACACACCTATTCATGTAAGGAAGCAACTTAAAATAAAAACAGTTTTGTTTCTGAAATCTGATAGTATATATGTAGAACCAAACTGTTAGCAGTTGCTCATGTCCCGTCAGAAAAGTCGGTCTGTGGGATTTACAGCACGTTTGTACACCTCCAAAATGAAATATTAAAAAAAATCTGTACAATAATCTCTTCCTTAATCACTAAGCCCCCGGTGTTTATTCAATTGAAAGTGAACTTTGAAAAAAAAGATTCCAGGAAACAAAGACCAGTGGGGATTGTGGACAAGATGCTGCCCTCTGAAAAAACCCATTAGGTTTTGTTTTAATAATCTTTAAATGTTCGTAGTTGTAGACGTAAAACCTTCAGAACACATTGACAGACTTTAAGTACCTAGGATATTAAGCGGGGAATAGATAAGGTCATGCAGTAACCGCAGCATGCATGGTGTCTTTGTTGATTAAGGCGTTGCTCATAACATCCATCACTGATTAGTGAAGCATAAAACAACAAACAAACAAACAGCAAACCTTGGTATTTTGTTTTGTTTGTTTCTTTGTTGTTTAACGCCGCAGTCAGCAGTACTCCAGCTATATGACGGCGGTCTGTAAAAATTCGAGTCTGGACCAGACAATCCAGTGATTGATATCATGAGCATCGATCCACGCAATTTGGGATACGATGACATGCATCAACCAAGTCAGCAAGCCTGACCATCCGATCCCGTGAGTCGCCTCTTACGACAAGCATTGTCGCCTTTTACGGCAACCATAGGTTCCTGAAGACCTATTTATTCTACCACGGATCTTCACGGGCCGCAAACCTTGGTGAAACCCACGACCATGGGTATGGCACTGACAAACGTAGAAACATATTCAGGGCGATTTCCCCGTGAGTGAATGCGATAGTATCGCAAAGATAATAATTTCGTCCAAATAAAATTATATAAGGTATCAGTCTCCCGGAGAATCATTGATATTAAGGACATATCGGCCACCGCTGTCTGTGTTAAACGTGACATCATATACACCGCTAACCGTTACACCGTAAACACTGTGTCGCGAACAGCACGCAACCCCATCCAACCACACACCCAGCCACCCACTCACTCACTCACTCGTCCACCTACCCAGTCTATCTAAATATGAGTTGATTTAACATGTTTGTATACTGGTGCACTGACAAAATATTCAATGAGTTAACACGATCCACTGATTTTCCATGAATTTATTTGAGAATTAAACAAACTTCAGAACATGAGTGTTAAATATTGTATGCTTTTCGCTGTAAGCGTAATTGCATATCTCATTTCTATTTATCACGAGGACAGGGTTATCTTGGCAGTCTATATAAAGGAACGACAGATGTTTTAAATGCTGGTCTTCTGAGGTTACAATATTTGTTCTTGGTTGAATAATATTTTTCACGCAACATTTGACGTAACAGTCCATATATGTCAAAGGAATGACATCAAATCAGGGGTATAAATAAGATTTCACTTATCGGAACCCCTCAGATGTTATCGCCATGCTCTACAAGTTCACGTTTGCTCTCATATGCCTTGCTGGCGACTCGGCTGGTGGATTTTCATTTGTCTTCAGACCACGTAAGTTCAGACTTATTTATTTTGATTAAAAAGCAGAACACAACGATAATGCGCTGAAACTCTAACACGTTATTCAATCCATTTTGAACAAAAGTTTAAAATAATGTTATGTGATTACAGAGGTTGTCACTAATTATCACTTGTCCATTAAAAGCGACAAAACCCTTAGAATCATTAGAATATTTGCTTAAAGCCAAGTTGTACGATTCCGACTATATCATAAATATGTGTTTATGAGTCACCGTCAAATAGGGATGGTAACATAAGTTCGCGAAAAAGGTTGGCGTTTTCGACTCCACCGGTGGCACCCGTCACAAACACATGCACAGGCAAGTTAATTGTTCACCTGAAAAGACACAGTAACTTATGGTACCAGTCCAATAGGGAAACACGCGTCTCACGTTTTGTTTTCTCTTTCATCTCAGTATCGGTGATGTCGGTTGGGTTGGACATGCCCAGCCGCTTCTTGCAATTGAACACCTGTTGAAATGTAGAAGTTGTTTCTAACAGTGTTTTGAGAGTGTAAGACCTTCGGTTATTCGCTTTCAGTTTGCTGTGAAAGTCTTAGTGTGCTGTTGTTTTCAATCAAACGAACTTCTATTTGTACGAATATAACTTCATATGTAGTTTATAGATGTCTGAATATGCGGATGAAATATTGCATGTCTAAATGCAGGCGGATGTAATATTGTATGTCTAAATGTAGGCGGATGAAATATTGTATGTCTAAATGTAGGCGGATGGAATATTGCATGTCTAAATGTAGGCGGATGAAATATTGTATGTCTAAATATAGGCGGATGAAATATTGTACGTCTAAATGTAGGCGGATGAAATAGTGTATGTCTAAATGTAGGCGGATTAAATATTGTATGTCTAAATGTAGGCGGATTAAATATTGTATGTCTAAATGAAGGCGGATGTAACACTGATGTCGTTGATAGCTGTCTATAAATGTATAGGGATGTAATATTGTATGTCGTTGGTGGTTGTCTGAAAGTATGCGGATGTAATATTGTTTGTCGTTGGTGGCTGTCTGAATATACGGATGTAATACTGTATGTCGTTGGTGGTTGTCTGAAAGAATGCGGATGTAATATTGTATGTCGTTTGTGGTTGTCTGAAAGTATGCGGATGTAATATTGCATGTCGTTGGTGGTTGTCTGAAAGTATGCGGATGTAATATTGTATGTCGTTTGTGGTTGTCTGAAAGAATGCGGATGTAATACTGTATGTCGTTGGTGGTTGTCTGAAAGAATGCGGATGTAATATTGTATGTCGTTGGTGGTTGTCTGAAAGTATGCGGATGTAATATTGTTTGTCGTTGGTGGTTGTCTGAATATACGGATGTAATATTGTATGTCGTTTGTGGTTATCTGAAAGTATGCGGATGTAATATTGCATGTCGTTGGTGGTTGTCTGAAAGTATGCGGATGTAATATTGTATGTCGTTGGTGGTTGTCTGAAAGAAAGCGGATGTAATATTGCATGTCGTTGGTGGTTGTCTGAAAGTATGCGGATGTAATATTGTTTGTCGTTGGTGGTTGTCTGAATATATGGATGTTATACTGTATGTCGTTGGTGGTTGTCTGAATATATGGATGTAATACTGTATGTCGTTGGTTGTTGTCTGAAAGTATGCGGATGTAATATTGTATGTCGTTGGTGGTTGTCTGAAAGTATGCGGATGTAATATGGTATGTCGTTTGTGGTTGTCTGAAAGAATGCGGATGTAATATGGTTTGTCGTTGGTGGTTGTCTGAAAGTATGCGGATGTGATATTTTATGCCACTGGTGATTGGCTGTCTGAAAGTATGCTGATATAATAGTGTATGTCATTGGCGGTTGTCTTAATATAGGGATGTAATATTGTATGGCTCATTGTATACGTATGTAATAATGTGTGTCGTTGGTGGTTGTCTGAACCTGTTTAAATTCTAGACCTGCTTAAATGTTTAGATTATTAAAATAATAGACAATGGTATGCATTTTGTCGTAAACATATTTCAATTAAAAACTCCGAAAATGTTTAGAATTTAAACACGGACTGTCCTACATGAAAGGGTGTAGTTGTTCCCACTTACAAGGCCTCACATAACCTGACCATTATACGTACATTAGAAGCATCACTACATTAATTGTCTGATTAACGAACCTGGTATAAGTGACATATCAAATAATCCCACATATCAGGCCAGTACGTTAGCTGAGGAAAAAAGCTGCCAAAACCTTGCATACGTACTATCAACTTTGGGCTTGACTCTAAAATCTGTAGACATGTCTATTCCTCCTCTGTATTTGATTCATAAGCTCCATAGAAACACGTACAAAGAGAAATATATTGCTGGGTCCAGAAGATGTATCACCAAGTCCAAACATTAGCCATAATTTTCAATACAATCAAGCAAAGACTTTCTGTATATTCACAAAAAGAATTTAAGACACGTGTAATTAATACCATCAATACAAATGCTTGACATTCTCAGAAATGAACCAAGTTCAATTCTGTCAAGACATTTGACTTTTCATCCTGTACACCACTATAGCACATGACAAACTTAAAGAAAATCTTCATGACCTGATCCATGTCGCTTTGGTAGAGAACGTGGTGGCCATAGATACAGTTAGATATCTATCTTCAATGTTCAGGTAATTTTTGTCAAAAATGAATTCAAATGCCATCTGAAGTTTACTGAGAAAACAAATACTGGACTTCCTCTTTCATAACATCAATGTAAAACATTTAGACAAGAAGTAAGCATCCCCATGGGCACCAACTATGCTCCAACTCTTGCGGATCTGTTTCTTTATGCATATGAATCGGAATTTCAGTTCGGATTGGCAAAGTCAAAACAAAGTAATTTAGCCAAGAAGTATATCTTCAGCTTCGGGTACATCGATGATCTGATATCGTTAAAAAACCATCAAATAGCCAATTCCCTTCAACTGATTTACCTACATGAACTAGAAATAGATGAGACTGTTTCATATTTAGATCTGTGCATACTGATTCAGAGTGACAAAAGACTATGACATCGAGGGATGACTTCAACCCAGAGTCACCTTCCCCTTTATGTCGAGGACTATCCCTACAGCTTCAGCCCTTGGTATCTACATTTCACAATCGAGAATGTTCTTTCGACCAAGATTTCAAAGAGCTTCATGATCATACAACCTCGAGGTTGTTTGATCAAGGTTACAACATTCAAGGCCTCAGTAAAGCTTTAAAAAAAATTACTGGTAGTCATGTGGAGGACATTTACAAATCTGACGCATCAGTAACAAAAATGATGTTATTTTGCTTTGTACCATATCTTCCAGAGTGTTTTTCCCCCACATAAACAATGGACCTGCCTTATGACGGGTGCCACCATTGGGGCAGGATACTCTCACCTTTTCTCGGAATCATCACGTTTTGATAGTGACTCGTAAACACCTGCTCATGATATAGTCGGAATCGTACAATCAACTCTGCTTTTAGCAGATATTTCTTATTATTATGGAAAGGGCTTGCAGCTTTTGTTTAATTTATAACTAAATATTGTTCTTTCTATGCCATTTTTCAGCATGTGAGATACAACAGCATACCTGCTATGACCTGAGCGAGTGTCCTCCGGGAACCGAGTCTCTGCAATCACTTTGCTTACGAGACGAAATCTGTTGTGTTAAGCTTGAAGGTAGCTAAAATAATATACACAAAAATGTATCTAATCTACAAGTGAACAACTTTCTTTGCTAGGTGACGTTTAACAGATATATGCCTTAAGTTATCATTGTAATATGACTTTCATATTGGACTAGGGGCGGTCGGGTAGCCTAGTGGTTAAAGCGTTCGCTCGTCACGCCGAAGACCCGGGTTCGATTCCCGACATGGGTGCAATGTGTGAAGCCCATTTCTGGTGTCCCCCGCCGTGATGTTGCTGGAATATTGCTAAAAGCGGCGTAAAACCATACTCACTCACTCACTCATGTCAGACTACGCTTGAAATATATGTTGACACAGTTCTCGATTACAATTTTGAAAACTGAACAAACAAACATTCCTGAATGTCTAATATATGGTTGAGATTGTATGGAAAATCCGTTCAAATGTTTATCCCACGGAAGCGAGAGACAGACGATGATTTTGACGGAATCAGTCGTACGGGCCGTAACTGTCGTTCGGAATACCCGGTGTTAACGTTTTCGAGGTTGCATGATTAGAGAACACATTCCGACTGTCACTTTCATGATCTGGTAAGCGACGCTCTGATTGGTCGGATGAAAGGTCATTCTGACGTGACACGTAATGGGATGTCTCAGATCTTTGTTTAGAGATAGCGAGAACAAAGTTCTGATTCTAATGAGATTGGGTTAGACTAGATCCTCAGGACTATATTGCTTGAGGTGACTTTACTGAATCCGTTTGTACGTGACTTGGCTGATTGCACGTCGTCGTACCCGACAGACTGTTTGGTTTTTACAGGCCTCCATAACATATCTGGTATATTGGATTTGGGGCGTGAAACAAACAAAAACAATCCAGCCTAAACCCCCCTATCAAGCTGACAGTCTCTCGCACAATGGTTTCATAATCAGTGCTTCACGGGCTTGTATACGAAATGGACGTTCCTCGATCACCCGTGAATACCAACGGCAGATTTGTACTAAATGGTGCCTAGTTTTCAGCAACAAATCAGAAGTCCGCCTGGTTCAAACGAGCGGTCGTATGTGTTCACGGGGGGTGGAGGAACATAGTGTATAGAAAACCTGTGAAGTATTGCCGATGCCTGTATTCTGCCCAACTGAAATTGTTGTGAAAATAATTGTTATGTACATATATATCATCTATTGTAGGGTGCTCCATCGACCCTTGTGTTAATGGAACATGTGTCAAGAAGGGCGGCGTGAATACATGTATCTGTGATCCTGGCTTTTCTGGTGAAAACTGCGATGTAGACGGTAATAATATAGCTTTAAACATTTATTCGTTAGAGGTGGATTCTAGTTTCAATAAAAATAGCATCCATCAATTTGTCGTTAATATACTCTGTCAGATACTTACTTTGCTGTGTCAAACATTATTGTTTGACTGTATCAGTGTACTTCATTACAGCCTAGAATTTGTAGATTTATCACATATTGGTCCATACCAATGGACAACCATCATGTAGCTGGAATATTGCTGAGTGCGGCTTAAACAAAGAAACAAACAATGGAAGTTTGTTTCACCTGTAGATAAAAGGACGTGGTGTTTGGGTTTATATGAATCTTCTTTAGTGCATGTCTCCTGGCTTGTGTGGCACCAACTGTGCAATTTATGGTAGCCTATAGACACATTTCATCTCTGGAAAACATGAATGATTAACTATTTGTTTTCAGTCTGCGATTCCAGCCCATGTGGAAGTCATGGGTCATGTGTTCACGATTCCAATGACGCAGGATACATCTGTTCATGCACGGGTTTCTATTCTGGCCCGAACTGCACATGTACGTATCTTTGATGAGTGTTTCGCTGGTGAATGTACCTGAGGTTGAATATATGTGATGGAATGTAAAAATAGCCAAAGACGAGACGTAAATGTCTATAACGACAAAACCACTGAGAATTGTGTGTAGCTACACGGCCCGGGCAGTTATATACATTGTTGTTTAATGTGTCTGGGTACTATCTACCCGGCATAGGCACGTGATGCAGGTATTACACGCTAGGAGTGTATCACACTTTTCCGTAACCATGCACGTGCATGTACATTCGTGGATATATACTTACAAAAATGGTCATCGCATGTTTTAAGTTCAGAAATGCAATTATTACAAGCTTTTTAAGACAACTATTTCCCCAGAATACTATTTGTTTGATATCAATTATAAAAGGTTTAGAATAAGTTTAGATGCAGCTCTCATAGACTAAGGATCGAAGTAGGCAGACATAGTAGCATAGCCAGAGAATTGAGAATATGTGAGCAATGTGGTTTAAATGTGATTGAAGATGAATTTCATTTTCTGTTAGTTTGTCCAAAATACGACCACCTAAGAAGAAAATACATTGATCTGCCTTTTTATGTACATCCCACTTTACAAAACTTTATATCGATCATGTCAACAACTGATAAAGATACTCTAAAAAATCTATCAATGTTCATTTATCATGCTATGTTAATTAGAATATGACCTGTTAAACGGATCCGTAACCACTCCCGAAAACAGAATCGTACTATGGGCCGGAGGCATTTCAGTATGGAATAAAACTTATCCCTATCCCCTATCCGGGGGCACGGGTGGCCCAGGCGTCTAAGGCGCCGTAATTCGCTGCGCAGAGTTGCGTCCCTTGGTCACGCCAGAAACCTATGATTGTGGGTTCGAATCCCGGTTCGCCCCGATTATGTTTCTAGGTATGTCAACACCATACCCGTGCTCGTGGGTTTCACCGAAGTAGTAAACGTCTGAGACCTGCATCCTCCCACATTAAGCTGCCACGCCGTGATATAACTGGAATACTGTTAAACCCAACTCACTCACTCACTCACTATCCCCTATCCCTATACCCTATGAGTGTATCACACGTTTCTGTAGCCATGCACGTGCATTCGTGGCATAACAAAGCGAGTCCAAATGAAATTTGGGTAGAGCATCAAAGAGATGCTGAATGTCATCCAAGTTGCGCTATTGATTCTAAACAATCGAAAGTTGACGCATATCAGAATACTTACGATTTATACCAAGTTAATTATATGCATATCAAAATATTTTTATTTTTGGTTGAATCAGTAAATGAAACTAATTAGCATTAACGAGGACGTCACTTTGGAGACTCCAAACCAGATTACCCACCCCAGGGGTTCTGAATGTGTGGGCAACATTTTTCAACCGTAGTATGACGTCAATGAGTTAACATGTCAATGGTCAGCCAAATGTAACCAGAGCCCACTTGCACAAAACGATCTCAGCGCTAAGATGATTGTAACTCCCATACTTTAACATAGGCTTACGACAGTCTTAGCGCTAAGATCGCTTTTATGCAAGTGGGTCCAGGTGTATAAACCAAACGCAAGCACTGCTATCCGAAAAGTAATCCCTACTGGTGCCCTAGATTTGACCAAAGTGAAACAATTGAAGAAAGCGCACTGAGAAATACTATTGACGTGTGTAAGTACATACGGGAATCAACAAGTGCAAAGTCTACACGAGGAATAACATTTCATATTTATTTTTACTGATATGGCAGAGAAAGGAATAGCAGATAGGGCACTGGTTTCCCAGACTTACACCTTATTCATCCATATGCGAATGTTCGTAAGTAACAGCAATGGAAACAAAACAAATTATTCATTCATATATAGGGTTAATATGTCCTTCACAATATTACCAACTGTTTGTAGCCCTTCCCCCCTGTGGAATGCCTCTGACGGGACGTTTCCTGAATGGAGTAGATGACGCAGCGCCTGCAAATCCCTGGCTTGTCAAAGTCGGTCTAGTTTCGCATCACCTACCCTGTAGTGGTGTCATCATTGACCTGGAATGGATAGCTCTTGACGCATTCTGCGGCCTCCAAATGTACGTGGTACAGTATCACTGATGTACTGTGTATGTTTTGCTGTTCTGTGTACAGTATCCCTGATGTACTGTGTATGTTTTGCTGTTCTGTGTAAAGTATTAAGGTGTATCGACACTGATTATGGAGTTAATGCGGGTGTTTTTGTAGAATGGGTCGTAGTGTCTACTGCAGTCTGATTGGTTGAAAAGCTTCGTTGAAAATAATTATATGAGACTTGAAGCCCGGAAATCTTTCGGACTTTTCACTTCGTATGAATACTTTTTTTAAGAAGTATTTTTTTCTCAATCTCAATTGGAAAACGTGTCACTCGGCATGACGAAATTGATACCACGTTAATTAAATATTTAATTTGATCATTATTTACCAGATCAACTTCGATTTTGCAACCAATCAGGCATACACTCACATATGTTCTCGATTTAAACAGTTTTTTTGCGGTGTGTTTGTGGAATAAATTAAGTTTGATTTTGACTTCGGCAGTTCTAATGAAGGAACTCATAACCACACCTTTAACATTTCGTTTGAAGACCCGTTCGTCAGGACGATGGTTGTTGTAAATTACGACGAAAAACCGTTAGTTAGGGCCCTGTTTATCATACATTACAGTGAAAACCCGTAAGTACGGACCATGTTTGTAACATAGCATAGCGAAATACCGTTAGTCAGGACCATGTTTATCCATCATTGCAGTGAAAACCCGTTAGTCAGAACCCTGTTAATTTGGAAACCTCGCCTTTCGGGCGAGTACCGACTACATTTATACAAAATGAAATTAGTTCGTACCCATTTTTTGTCGGCGCCGCGATTCGCTGTGCAGAGTTGCGTCCCTTGGCCACGCCAGAAACTTATGATTGTGGGTTCGAAACCCGGTTCGCCCCGATTATGTTTCTAGGTTTGTCAGCACCCGTGCTCGTGGGTTTCACCGAATTGGTAAACGTCTGAGACCTGCATCACTTCGGGCTTTCCTCCCACATTAAGCTGCCACGCCGTGATATAACTGGTATACTGTTAAACGCGGCGTTAAACCCAACTCACTCACTCACTCATTCATATGGACGATCTTACGGGAACAGGGGCGGTCGGGTAGTCTAGTGGTTAAAGCGTTCACTCGTTACGCCGAAGACCTTGGTTCGATTCTCGACATGGGTACAATGCGTGAAGCCCATTTCTGGTGTCCCCCGCCGTGATATTGCTGGAATATTGCAAAAAGCGGCGTAAAAACCACACTCACTCACTCTTACGGGGACAATTGCCAGGTGATTCTGATATCTGGTCAGCTTCTGGTCTGGTGTCAACATTCGGTGTGCCTAGCATGTGGACCGCTAGCTAATCTCAACAGTGAGTAGTTTTGAAGGACTGACTGTACTGACTCAAAACCTGATCCACTAGTGTCAGCAATATGTTGAAGTGTAACACGTCCTTCTGCCATGGACAGCCTCCAGATGAGTTCAGTTGTGGCCTATTTACGAAGATCTACGATCTATGTCATCTTCTGTGCTAATTCAGCACCCCTTTTCTTGACAGCTGAATGCGGATGTCTGCTGGTCGTGTCTTGGAGTATTTACTATGCTGACCTGCCCTGTTAATGCACGTGTTTTATCACAGCGCGTTCTCCCCCCACCCCCCTCCACACACACACTTCATGACAAATTATCTATAGATCTGGAAAACATATGCAGTTAGTAAGCTGAAACTTGGTGCTATGTCTTCCAAGAGGTGATATAACACATAATACATAGCAATACCTTTTCTATTACCCTCGTATGTCAAATCTTGAAGCAGCTTAAGTTGTAAGACCCGAGTGTATGAAGTCATGCTCATAATACTGAGACATATGTGTTTTCTTCAAATCATAACGATTCTTCTCTGCTTGCTTTGTCAGTTGCGGTTCTGGCTGCCACGTCATGATCGGGAGCTACGATGGAGCTGCCCCTGACGGGACAGAGCAACTGAGGACCATTACTGAAATTATTCCTCATCCTCTAACCGACGTATTGTCTACAGGTCTCTGTCTCTTGTCTGTTTGCTGTTTAACGCCGCACTCAGCAATATTCCAGCTATATGACGGCGGTCTGTAAATAATCGAGTCTGGACCAGAAAATCCAGTGATTGACATCATGAGCATCGATCCACGCAATTGGGATACTATTACATGCATCAACCAAGTCAGCAAGCCTGACCTCCCGATCCCGTGAATCGCCTCTTACGACAAGCCTTGTCACCTTTTACGGCAAGCATGGGTTGCTGAAGACCTATTCTACCCCTGATCTTCACGGGTCCGTCAACAGGTAGCCCGTTAACAAATATTACGGAGAATCGGTTACTTTGTTTGAAATAAGTCTATGTTCACCCAGGAGTGAATGTGTACCCGGAAATGTGAATCAAAACCTTGTAGCTCCAAGTACCCAGCTTGGGTTGTATGCTACACAGGTAACAAACCGTGAAGATTCGGGTTAGAATTGGTCTTCAGAAACCCATGCTTGTTGTAAGAGGCGGCTAACGAATCGGGTAGTCAGACTCGCTGACGTAGTTGATGAATCGTATCCCAATTGCGTAGATCAATGTTCACGATGTCAATCGCTGGATTTTCTGGTCCAGCCTCGATTATTTACAGACCGCCGTCATATAGCTGGAATATTGCTGAGTGCGGCGTTAAACAACAAACTGAAACAAACAGAATGCACAATAAATGTTTACGGAACCTTTGTCATTGTACACGGATAGGGCATGCGTTCACAGAAACATGTGTGTTTAGATCCAAAACACAAACCTAAACACGTTCCTTGTCCCATAATTTTGACATGTTTAGGTCTAATCATGTTTACGATTGCGTTTAACAGCTAAATGTGTTTAGGGTCTAAATGTGAGAAATGTTGATACGTGTTTATATTCTAAACATGTTTAGATTATGGGAATGTTGTGTTCAGGCGGTGTTTCGGCTGTGAAACGATAGGTCATGTCATGTGTTTAGACCCTTAAAATGTTTAGATAAAACACACCAAACTTGCATTGCGTTCTGAATTTAAACACATTCCTGAACATGTTTAGTTATGGCCATGTCTTGTATGTGTTTACATTCTAAACACATTTATTTACATTGTTGAGTGGAATAAGTGCTCTTCAAATGTGCATTATAATATTATCATAAACTTTTGCTTTAATCATTTGGGGGGGGGGGGGGGGGGGGGGGGGCACTGATTTCCAACATCCCTATTAATGTTTAGACTTCCATAAACCTAAACATAATACTGAAGTCAATTCTGAAGTCAAAGGCATCTAAGTTTTTATATGCATCCATGTCAGAGCAAGGATCTGCTGCTTCCATTTCAATGTCGATCCAGGTCTGTCCAAGCTTGTGGATTACATCAAAATGGCTAACGTCTACGAGGGGCGGTCGGGTAGCCTAGTGATTAAAGCGTTCGCTCGTCATGCCGAAGACCCGTATTCGATTCCCTACACGGGTACAATGTGTGATGCCCACTTCTTGTGTCCTCCCCTGTGAAATTGCTGGAATATTGCTAAAAGCCGCGTAAAACCATACGCACTCACTCACTGACATCTACGAGCTGCATTACTGTCGACTTTCACACACGACCGCCTCCGTGGTCTAATGGTAGAGCGTCCGCCCGGAGAGCGGAAGGTCCGGGGTTCGATTCACGGACGCGTCATACCAAAAGACGTTAAAAGATGGTACTTGTTGTTACCCTGTCTGGCGCTCGGCATTAAGGGGCTAAAACAAGGACTGGTCGGCTCGGAGTCAGTATACTGTGTCTGAATGGGGTATTCATGTTAAACTGCGGCATGGTATCTCAGTGAGCTAGCACTATAAATCGGCATCAGTCCGGACTAGTACAAGCAGCCACACAAACACACACACGTACATGCACGTCGCTATATAACAGCAATAATCTTGGACGCGACGTTAAACCAAATTTCACCTCGCACGCACACATAATTACACGCTAGGCTTAAACGTACGCATTGTTATATAACGAAAATGCTGTTAAATGGGATCTGTAAATTTACTTGAAATATTTCAATGTTTTCCATTTCCAGATTACAATGTGGCTTTGGCACGACTTTCCGATCCCATAACTTTGACGGATAGAATCAACGTTGTCTGCCCACCGTCTGATGTGTACAACGTGTTCCGGGAACCAAGGACCTGTAAAGTAGCAGGATTTGGAAGAAAGGATTTGACCAGTAGGTTTATACACTTTTAATTCATGGTTTAATTGGTCCCCTTTCTCCCGCGGTTGACATACCGTGATATAGCTGAAAACCCCATGTCTTTCTCACTCATTCATTCTCCGTCTTAAGCATTACGTTTACTTTATAGAGGAAATACGCTTTGTCCAATTTGACATCTCACACTGAATCTACACGAGGAGCTGTCCTAGCTTGTGTGGAAATCAGATGTATGTCAATTGGATTTTTATCGCTCAGATTAACCAATCACAATCGAATATTTCACACAGTACAGGAGTGACGAAAAAGAACTTCGCCTGTGAATGTGCATGTACAAGGATTGTGGGGATTGCCTTAAAAGTCGGACCATGCCGGACAAAGACGGGCCACCGTTATTATTGGCTAATTACTCCATTATTGACGACCATGCCTACATATTATTGATGCAACATACACACATAAAATTAATGAACAGTCACAAACCAAAAACGTGGAACATACTTAAGTTATTGCGAGAAAATCGCTTGAAACTCATGAAGTCGAGCTATCTGTGCGAATGGCTGAGCTAGGTTACATGTAAAAGTGGAATCGGTAATGAAATAGGACTTGAAACGTATTAAAAAAATTTCAACTATCGTGATACAAATTTCCATCTGTCCCCGTCCAAAACGAATATTTTGGGGAATTCAGGGCTTTAGCGCTGTTAAAGGGAACATGGCTCTCCATTGAAAATTGTTGGGATATCGCCAAAGTAAATAATGAGCGCAAGAGTGAATAGCGAGTCTATAGTTTCCAACAGCGAATAATCCACGAGTGAATGGTGAATGTCATCTTCCCGAGGCAAGAGAGTTAACTGAATTTAAAAGTCCAGTTACCACCTTTACCGAACTAGGCTGGAATTCCTGGGCTCGATCGGAGCGCCACCAGTGGCTGTTACGAGTTATGTCCCTACTATGCCTCAAATATGAACCAATCGGATTCCGACTCTCGTATCACTTGCCCGGTCAAGACGATCTGATCAATAATTAAGATCTATATTGTGATAAAATGAGTCTTACATCGCGATATGCATCAAATCACGTGGGCACCTTGATTTAAAACATGGAAAGATTTTGAAAATATCTGTTGACAACGAGCTGGCGGTGCACATGCTTTGCAAATCCTGCAATCGACCGAAATCTGATGACAGCTTACGAACCGGATTTCGATTTCGGTGCGCGATTTGGATTGGACTATGCATAGACTCGTTAGTCCAGCCAAAATGTAACTCCATATTATCAGCCTCGTTCGGCAAGTGTGGAAACTGGACTTTTATAGTCAGTTAACTCACTTGCTTCGGGAAGATGAGTGAATATGGGGAGAGGTTGAATGAATGCCTTCATCGATAATGAAGAAATATCTAGTGGGTAGCACCAACATTGGCTTTTACACGTTGAACCCATGTAAGATTATCGGAAGAGGTAACACAAAGTCCCATTTTTCATAATATTTTGAGTTGATGTTTTACCTGTGCTAATGTTGTAATATTTTAATCAGTTTCTGATCAACGACAGCCTACTGGTGCCATATTGGTAGCATAATTTCTTTTAATTCGAAAGTTCTTTTTATTTGAATTATTTGTTGTTTGTTTTCGAAGTTTCGATCTTTTGATAAACTTAAAATAACGAAAAAATATTCGGAATAACGGAAAATAACTGCTACTTTCGATTGTTTAACATAAAAACTTGACATAATGAGAAATTAATGGAATATATGAGAAAATAGCCGAAATAACGAGAATATAAACGAAGTAACGAGAAAATATTGTAAATTTCGAAAAAATAGTTGAAATAACGAGAAATTTCAATGTACAAAAAAAATAAAAATATGCTACCAATTGCAAAGTGGCACCATTAGTCTTTCGTACTGATCAGAACAACATGGATATGTTGTATTTACAGCGTTCTTATTTTGTGCTTACTGGCATATCCAAAGACCAGGACAACACACGTATTAAATAGCTCTAAAAGGAGTTACATTTGTGTGAAATTTAATAATATGTCATTGTCTTCGGCAATATATTCTTTGAGACCATCGTTATGGGAGACTATTCAGATAAAATATCAAAATAATTTAACTTGTATTATAATTCTAGTTGCATTCGGCGAATTTGATACGGGCGTCCGTCAGGTTATGGATACGTTCTTGATTGATGACAGCCTGTGCACACTTCTGAAAGGATCTGCTCCACATATGGCAAGCCACTGCGGCTTTTTGCCAACACCTGACGCTGCACCTTGCATTGTGAGTAATTTCGTGCTATTTGACCCAAGGATAGAAGTGACCGCCTCCGTGGTCTAATGGTAGAGCGTTCGCCAGCCGCGTCATACCAAAAGGGGTTATAAGATGGTTCTTGTTGTTACCGTGTCTGGCGCTCGGCATTAAGGGGCTAAAACAAGGAATGGTCGGCTCGGAGCAAGTATACTGGGTCTGAGTGGGGTATTCATGTTAAACTGCGGCATGGTATCTTAGTGTTCTAGCACTATAAATCGACATCAGTCCGGACTAGTACAAGCAGCCCCCCCCCCCCCCCCCCCCCCCACACACACACACACACAGATGAAAACTCTGAGATGGACCTCTGTGAAATGTACCACATTCACTTCAGGGTGACAACGGTGGTGCGTTGGTCTGCCAGAACGACACTACAGGCGCCTGGACATTGGAGGGAATTGTGTCCTACGAAGAGGTTGTAGGCCTCTGTGGTGACCAGATCTACACGGTTACTGACGTGAACGCGGTTTGGAGCTGGATGCAAGAAGTGATAGCGGCGGCGACACACTAAAGGACGGCGGTAGCAGCAGTGACCAATTCAATTAAAAATAACAATAAATATGATGTAGATGTAGAAGGAAATAAATAATAATTTGTCGGTAATGTAGTCATTATGTGTGTGAGTGAAACGGCAATGATATGGAGAGATTCCAAAATGTGTTTGGGTATCTCTAAATACAAATGTGTGTGTGTGTCTCTCTCTCTCTCTCTCTCTCTCTCTCTCTCTCACTCTCTCTCTCTCTCTCTCTCTCTCTCTCGCTCTCTAATAAACAAATGGGTGTGGGTATCTCTAATACACATGAGTGTGTGTATCTCTAATAAAGATTGCCAATTGGCATGATGTGTCGTCACGATGTGACGCACATTCAACAGATTTATCGACAAGGTAGGACGTTGGTAGAATACGTTCGTTTAGATAGGTCGTCGCTATAGGAGGCACCATAGCTAACTACAATAGAGCTAGACTTTTGATACTACCTGATACGACCTGATTTATCAACAGATCCACGTTTAGTTACCCGTATTTGTTATTTGAATTACTTCATCAATTTATCAACAGATCCACGTTTGGTCCCCTGTATTTATTATTTGAATTACTTCATCAATTTATCAACAGATCCACCTTTAGTCCCCCGTATTTATTATTTGAATTACTTCATCAATTTATCAACAGATCCACGTTTCGTTCTCCGCATACCACAGTCAGGGAAATTCGCATTTTTAGTTAATTGTTTATATTCCACTGCGTAACACTCATATACATGCGTGTGGGTATATCTAACATACATAAGTGTGCGGGTAGCTCTAATTTACATTATTGTGAAAAATATTGTTATACCAACGTATATCAGAGGGTGAATGTTGTTTTACGTCACAGACAGCACTATTTTAGCTATAGCATGAAGGCTGTATGACATCACACCTGAACCAGACGATCAACTATTTTAATATCGTGACAATCGGTACCCGCTGTAACAACCAGTTGGGTTCATGCATGAGCGATCGGGGCCAATTCTGTCTCGGAATTCCCACGAATGACGGTCCTGGGTGTGCTATATAGCCAGTTCCAGTCAAAAAACAACTACACATTTGTCATAGGCAGTGCAACACACATGCACATAGTTGTAAGAAAGCTAACCAAGGTGGATAATTGACATTGTCAGCGAGTCCTCTCCGCTAGATTCCAATACTTGGGTTACCTCCACCAGAGCCAGTTGCTACCAGGTAAATTCAAGGAGTATGTCCCTATAACCAACTGATGTCCTTGTCCTGATGTTACCTCAAATTGACGCAGGTCTCATATTGAACTGTCATCAATTGAGTCACCAATTCATACCAATCAAGAACTGCAGTACCCTGTACTTCCTTGCACTTCTTTTCAATAGTCAGTACATTTGGTCTGGATATTTGTCGTTTCACACGGCAACATTGTACTTTAAACAGTCATTGGTTCCTGAATAGAGGTAGAGTTTAATAAGTGAGTGAGTATGGTTTTACGCCGCTTTTAGCAATATTCCAAGCAATATCACGGCGGGGGACACCAGAAAAGGGCTTCACACATTGTACCCATGCCGGGAATCGAACCCGGGTCTTCGGCGTGAGGAGCGAACGCTTTAACCACTAGGCTACCCGACCGCCCCAGTTAATAAGTGAGTGAGTGACTTTGAACACCAGTGTCACGGGGTGATGCAGGTTTGAGGCCATTTTCATGAAAACTACGAGGGGTGATAAAACAAAGATAATAAGCTTTGTTTATGGGATCCTAGCACGCATAAGGGACTTGGCTACGGACGCCGTCATAAAATATTGAATAGTTCTTAGTGCGGCTTTAGTCAACGAAATAACAAATAAAACGTGGTACGCATCTTTATGAGACGTTTATAACGTATTACGGTCAGTTAGAGCAAATGATCTATGAATTCTTTTTAGTTTTGTATAAAATTCCCATGAGGGTGACAACGGTGGTGTTTTGGTCTGCCAGACCGGAGAAGATATGTATCATACCTATCTGATGGCAAACCTACCTGACTTTGCCTGCAGTGGTCAGGTCAATGTCTTCACTGACATGACTGCGGTTTGGAGATGGATTCAAACCGTCATCGCGGCGGCAGTCTGAGCAACATGCGGCATCACCAGTGACTAATGCATAATGACAACAATCTGTGTGTGAAGAGTCACTCTTCTTTATAATTAAAGTTACGTCTTTCCGATATACTTTTTATTGCATCCACTACAAACAATCAAGTAAATAACATTTCTAGTATCACAAGACATATTTTGTTTTACAGTAAATTTAATGTCCTTTGTAATTTGGACTGAACAGCCTTCAATTATATTGTTGCAAGTAAGGCAACGTTTATCACCGCACTAAGAAACCTGTTTATCTAAGTTTGCGTCAATTCCTGAATACAATCACTTTGCGTTGTTGAATATGAATAGTCAATTTAAATTTATCACACCATAAAGAGAGTTGGTCAAGACGTTTTTGCTGGTCAAGAAGATTGTCATCTGCAAACAATAAAATAAATAATTCCAATGGGCTTACACAATGAGCTCCCTCACAATTAAAAAAATAGACAATATCATTGATGAAACATGAGAACAAAAAAGGCGACAATTGGCATCCTTGTATCACACCAGAGTAGCACTTAAAGAGCTGTGTATTCCATCTAGAGAAATACAGGACTTTACAGATCTCTATATATTACGGATTAATCTAAACAATCGACCATTAATACCTCCTTTCCAGAATTTAAAGAGTAAGACATCCCTATACACACAGAGTCGAACGCTACTTTCAAATTTATAAAAGCACCATACAACCAACCATGCTTTTGAGACAGATATGTATCTCATAAAGTATTATCAATAAAGATTTTGTCGGAAGTTTGGAAACCCTTTCTAGAACCTGCTTGCTCATTAGCTATGAAATGTTCCAGAGCAGACGACTTTGTTAGTCTGTTACAAACAATATTTGTAAACTTTTAAAATTTAGTGTAACAAGTCTATAATTAGGGGGGTCATTTGGATTATCGATCTTACTTACAAATGGGAAGTATGACGCCGTTAGACCACTGATCTGGATAACAGTCACTTATGAATACTTACTGCATTAAATAATTGTAATAACATGTCCAGACATGTGGGTGGGGCACTCATCCTCAAGTATTCCACTATAACCAGGAGCTTTACCACACTTCATATTTCAAAGAGCTTGTACCAATTCCCCTAGATTAATTACAGTTTCTACCTCACTTTCGGGGACATCTGTATTCTCTATCAACTCAATTCTTTATTTCAGTATAAAGGCCATAGGCCCACGTACAAATACTCATTGAAAAATACAGTATGAGGCAGATGACAGAGGGTATTAAGTGACAGTATTTCGGATTGCAAGTGCTTCCAGTATTTACTTAACACAATTAGTTACAATACTAGTGCGGTTACAAGATAATAGTGTAATATATTTAAATAAAGTAGGATTGGAAGAGTAATAAATAGGTAAATACTTATTTCTTAAATATCTGTAACATTGGCAGACAAGCATAAAATGAAACTCATCTTCAATTCCCTGTAAATTACAAAATCTGCACTGCCTATTACAGTACTCTGTACCGCATCTTCTACCTAAATTTACCATCAATGGCAACTCGCCAACTCTTAACAAACAAAACATACGTCTATAATGACGGCTTGTGATTTCACAGAGATACTTTTCAACTGTTAGCAATCATGACTTATATTCCTTATACACTGATAATTTACGTATTTCAAAAACTTCACAATACCAGTCCTGTTGGTTACAGTCTTTTAACCTTTGAATAAATGCATTAATAAAGAGGGTCTCATTACCAACTTCCTGCGAAATCCACACGTGGACAAATCCATAACTGAATAATAATCTTTTGACACAAGTTACCCATGTATTGCGATTAACTTCATCTAAAGATTTCAGCATTAAATAGCATTGCTTAGGGTATCTATAACTGGGTAAAGATAACAATTTCAACCAATATTTAATACATCTCTTGTGATAATCAATAAATAATCCATATCTACCACATTCGCCAAGGGCAGCAACATTTGTAACATGACTTCCAATTCCCAATAGTTAATTTACAGAATGTAATCTGAAATTTTTCAGTTGCTGCAATTTTTGAATAGCCCCATATTTCTGAAGTGTATAATAATACAGGCTTAATTTGACTGTCAAATATTAAAAAAATTATATGTACGGGCCTTCTGAACAAGAGAGTTGATACCAGTCGTATCTATCTCTATCAACTCATCACCAAAGGAATTGACAAAGTTGTCTACAAATTAATAAACAAAAAATAATATCTGCACTTTCTCGTCTACCTAGAAACACTGACTCAAAATGCTTAATCGAGTGATCAACAGATATACCTTTCAACGGGGCACAAGTCCTTTTTGCGACTAAAGACCAAAACATCTTATCATTATTTATTTGTAAAGAAGGCACAAGTTTCCCTTCCAACACAGATCTATAATGATGTGATTTAGTTACCCCAAACTCTTTATATAGTATTTCCATGCCGGTGTATCAAGCTGCCTATCAACTTTACTGTTAGAGGCATGGCCCAACCACCTGCGTGCATCGGCTCGTGCTTCAACACATTCCGTGTCGTACCAGTTACCTCCCCTTCTTACATCATTTCTACATTAGTTGACTGAGAAACTCTACAGCCTTCAACACAGGCTGTCATTCTTTTTACAAATGAGGTTACAGCTCTTGCAGTACAATTGGCAAGATTATCTAAGAATTCGAATTCACTAATGTTACAAACTGGTAAAGTATTCGAGTTAGGATTAAAGTTTATTTTCTGTTCTTCTTTCCAATAAGGTCCGAGTGTCCGAGTTTTTTCTTCACATTACTCATGTATTATTGTAAATTTTAATGAGAGGTATATGGCTGGATCCCACTTGGTTCGCAAACGAAAATTATGAAAAAACTAGAATATAGTCAACCATAATTTGACCGTTGTTAGCATAGCAGGTAAAAATACCAATCCCTGCATCTTTACCTGTTCGCCCATTACACATTCTTGGCCCGGTGAGTTTGAAGAAGTCTAATAGGGCATGGCCTCTTTTATTAATAACCCTATCCTGTGAAGACCTGGGCAAGATGTTACTATCTTCCACATAATTAACATCATTATCGATGGGCAGATGTGTGGACTCGTTGAATATGACCACTTTCATACGTTCCTGTTTCCCAATAACTCACAAGTGCATATAAGGAAAATAAATCTAGGTTGTAGGAGAAAGAAGGAAAATACCATTACAATAATTGTTACTAATCAGATTATCTCTATGATCTTAATCCACCTGAAGTCGCTGAACTAAATTTTATAATATTGTATCAGTATTTCCAGGCTTGATGTTTTATACTGTTAAATATTCCCCTAATAGCGGCCAAGAAAGTTAAGTTCAGTTTAACTAACTCAGCTAACATTTTGATTGATGACATTCTTTTGGCAGAGATTTCTTCAATCTCATTAAAATCAGATATAAGTTCTCGCGAAGTTACACAGTATGATTGAACACCTTTATCTGTGTCTTGGGTATATTTTTAGATGCAAGACATATGTAAAATCAAAATTTATGTCTGAGGGATTCTTTGACGAAGAACTTGAAATCATACGCGCATTCCGATTGGTTTGTCGTATTTTCGCACAACATTTGTCATCACTCGCCCCTTTCCGTAACCTGCAAGAAGACTCGTCCCCCTATCGATGAATGTTATGTGCAAAATACGACAAACCAATCGGAATGTGTTCAATCATACTGTGTAACTTCGCATGTCCCGATGTGCTTTAAATTGCATTTGAAATATATAATTATAATCTATGGGGAAATATATGTGAACCATTACGCAACGAGTTTTAGGTATGCCCGTTTGCGCTAAGACGGACCCCGGTCGCAAAAATGGCTATGAGAGGGGCACGAGTCGCTTGTCCCGGAATAACACGAGTTGGTCACGAATGTTCGCACATAACATTCATCGATAGGGGGACGAGTCTTCTTGCAGGTTACGGAAAGGGGCGAGTGATGACGAATGATTCCGACAGTCACTTTCTTGATCTGGTAAGCGACGCTCTGACTGGTCGTTCTCACGTGACCCCTCAAGGGATGTCCTCAGATCTTTGTTTAGCGGTAGCGAGAACTAATATCTGATTTTAATGAGATTGAGATTTCTTATGAGTATGGAGAGGGTTTTTGTCGCTTTTATGCAGATGAACAGCTAACTTTCCAACTCAGCTATCTTTTTACAACAGTTAGCTTTAACTATTTGAGGTTTCCATTATAACAACATTATGAAAGTTGTATTGTGAAATTTTGGGAATTATACAAGTCCATAAGGCTTGTAGTTTCTATCGATGCAAATCATTAAAGGCACAAATATATATATCCATAAACAATAAACTGTACTGGTGCTTTGTCAACACCCAACAAATACTTCTACATGGATTTATTTATCAAAATATTATTTGATTTGAAACTTTCGGCACACATATACAACATTTCAAACATGGTTGGGATCATTTGGTTGCAAATGTATTTCTTTCATCAATTTTCATTGAACCAATTTGTTTTTACACTAAATTCCCCACGGAGAGGTTTAAGCAGTAATGTGAATATAAATCATCCGATGCTGAAACTATTGCCATCTTAGCAAAGACTTAAGGATGTATGTAAGTGTCGTTTTCAACAAATGATGAATGTGAATTTGGCCTCTGTGAACATTTGCATACTTTACAATCATTGCAGGGTCTACAAAAAGGAAACTTCAGGCACCGGGACAATAGAAGGACTGGTTTCTAAACCAACCACTGACTGCAGTTTTAGTCCTACGTCGTCACTGATAGCAGCGATGGGCCAACGACCAGCGGATCCTGGCACGCCGGAGGGACGAAACTCTACAAATGGAAATACGGCACCTTCGACATCTCACCCACCGTACGACGTTTGTAACATGGAATGAGAGTGAGAAGTGAGTGAGAATATTGTTTTACTCCGCTTTTTAGCACTATACCAGCAATATCACGGCGGGGACGCCAGGAATTGGCTTCACACATTGTACTCATGTGGGAGATTCGAACCCGGGCCTTCGGCGTGACGAGCGAACGCTTTAACCACAAGGTACATCGCCTCTTCACAGGAAGTGCAGCATATACATAATACATACATGTCTGTGAATGGTACTCAGTAACATGTATGACCTTATATGACCATGAACGTTTACAGACGCGTGACAATTCGAAATATGTTAATAGCCCAAAGGATGTTTCTGAATGCGAAAATGTGTTGTGAATATTCGTACTGGAACCTTGCAGTATTTTGAAATTTTTAATCGGTATGTGCTAAATGATCAAACTGTCATGTATGACCCGTTTCATAACGAAGAGGTTCTTGGAAAATTCCCATTTCTGTTTGAGAGAACTTTCTTGGCCTGACATTACTTTAACAATAATTTTCCTTCACTGTATAGGAAACTTCCATTTTCAGTTTGAGAGAACATTCACAAATAATAACGCCTTACTGACCTACCATGACTTGCAGGGTTGTAAACTATTTTTCCTTTATAGTATATGGTAAACATACATTAAAAATGTTCTGTTTGCTCACAGGTAGGAATGCGAGTCCTTGTGTGCCCCCATCAATGGATGGGATCTTCAATGGTAAGTGACTGTGCATATTTACGAAATTCCCTGTCAGTTTCAGTGTTGAAAAGGCAGCATTTCTTCCTGGTTCAGGTATGTATGTTCTGTTTGTGTTGTTTCTGGGTGATTGATTTACATGAACATATGTACAATCTTATTCTTTGTAATAGAACGCAGCAAACCAAATCACTAAAAACACCTTCATCTTCCAAATCTCGTTATCCCCGTGAAGATCCGGGTTGAGAATAGGTCTTCAGCAACCCTTGCCTGCTGTAAGAGATGACTAGTATGCTTGTCGTTGGAGGCGACAAACAACTGACGGGATAGGGTGGTCAGGCTCGCTGACTTGGTATATGTATGTCATCGTATCCCATAGGCGTAGATCGATGCTCATGATGTCAATCACTGGATTGTCTGATGCAACGTGCTGGACGTTGATTGTATTACTTAGTGCATACTATTTTTTCCTGTGATGCGTTGTACGATTTCAGCCAATCGAAATCACGTAATATTTACAACCATATTGGTTTCGCTTATTGTTTCACATCACAAAGGGGCGGTGGGGTAGGCTAGTGTTGAAGGTGAGGTGAGGTGAAATGGGGTTTAACGTCGCGTTAAAGATTATTGCACTTATATAGCGACGTGCATGTACGCGCGCGTGCGCCGACCAGTCCTTGTTTTAGCCCCTTTTTGCCGAGCGCCAGACAGGGTAACAACAAGTACCAGGCTCGTGTTTAAAGCGTTCGCTCCTTACGCCGAAGAACCGGGTTCGATTCCCCACATGGTTACAATGTGTGAAGCCCATTTCTGGTGTCCCCCGCCGTGGTATTGCTGGAATATTGCTTAACGCGACGTAAAGCCATACTCACTCACTCACTCACTCATTAACATCGCAAAAATAATACAGTTACATACCAGACAATCTAGTGATTAACATCATTAATAGTCGCCTATTACGGGAATCAATTCTAACACGAATCCTCTCGGTTTACGGCCATTTGTTAACAAATATGGCGTCTCTAACGAGCTAGGTTAAGTTAAAAAGAAAATTCAATATGTTTACGGTACTGAAACAAATAGCCATTCATCTACTTCCAAAGAATGCTTGGTTACTGCACATTGGTGCTGTGGGAAACACATAATATAACATGTCCAGACTAAATGATACATCAATTTGTTTCCCCTTGAAAATCAGATTCAAACAATAGGCGTTGCTCATATTTACTACGCGAATGGGGGGCACGGGTAGCCCAGTCGTCCAAGGCGCCACAGTTCGCAGTGGGACGTTGCGTACCTTGGCCACGCCAGAAAGCTATGATCGAATCCCTGTCCGGCCCGACTATGTTTCTAGGTTTGTCAGCACCATTCCCGTGCTCTTGGGTTTCACCAAAGTGGTAAACGTCGAAGACCAGCATGACTTCGGGCTTTCCTCCCAAATCTTGCTGACATGCCGTGATATGACTGGAAAAACGGCGTTAAACCCAACTCACTAACTGCTACACGAGTGATGATTGTAAAAGTTTGCGTGGAGTCGCAGGCGATATTGAAATGACGGAAATGTAAACACATTTAAAAAGTCGGTATCAGCTACCTATACGTCTATATATTTTAAATCATGTGAATATTCAAATCTCTACACTTCTTGCTATGATAGAGAGGGATCTCTCGAGACATTCGAGCATGCAACGCCAATTTGTGCATAAGGTTTGATGATACAGTTTGTTTGTTGTTTTACGCCGCACTCAGCAATATCCTAGCTATATGTAAATATTCGAGTTTGGACCAGACAGTCCAGTGATTGACATCATGTACATCGATCTACGCTTTTGTAGTTGGCTTGTTGTTTAACGCCCCACTCAGCAATATTCCAGTTATATGACGGCGGTCTGTAAATAATCGAGTCTGGACCAGACAATCCAGTGATTGATATAATGAGCATCGATCCAAGCAATTGGGATCGATGACATGCATCAACCAAGTCAGCGAGCCTGACCTACCGATCCCGTTAGTCGCCTCGTACGACAAGCATAGTCGCCTTTTACGGCAAGCATGGGTTGCTGAAGACCAATTCTGCCCCGAATCTTCACGGGTCTCGATCTACGCAATTGGGATTGATGGCATGCATATGCATCAACCAAGTCAGCGAGCCTGACCGCGGCCGCCCGATCCCGTTAGTTTCCGTTTACGGCAAGCCTGTGTTGAAGACAAAAAATGAAATTCAAGGCGATTCCTTGGTTTTTCGAGTCATATTGATAGAGTGAGTTCATCATGATACTACTCAGGAAGTCCTTGAATAAACATTGTCAATTGAAACTCATGGCAAGATATCAGCTCATACCGTATGCAGGAGACACAGCCACTCACTGGTACTGATGCAATTGATGTGGATTATATAAATTTTCAATGAATAAATTATTGAAAATATTTATCAGCATCTGCAAAAATTGCGTACTAAATGTACATTCACCGAATGGATGTGACTATATCACCTGTATGAACTGAAGAATTCTGAAACGGGATATATTTTGCTATGGGGTCCTGAATTACCAGTGGATATAGTTAACACATGTATGTGTTTACCCAGCTTGTACGAGGTTATACATAGCGTTGTGGGTCACACGTTCCTTGTTTTTTTCCATAATTATCGTTTTTTTTTCAAACAATCGTGCAACCTGTCATACAAGTACTGGAGATTTGTATATAGCTATGTGCAAAACTTCAATGCGTTGTCTTTTTAGGCATCTTTGATTAATGTTCACCCATGTGTGAAGAATGTCAATATAGAGACGGATGCGAGGTTTTTTTGATTAAAACAACACAACAGCGGAAGACCTCAATATATTTATTGGGGTTTGAAAGCAACTCTGTCCTTTGTAAGGGACAATGCCTACTTGTAGTTTACACTCATATCTTCACCCAACATACAAGGTATGGATAAGAAAGAGATGCTAGATACTGAAGCGCATACATAACATAGGGATATAAATTGTGACCCGCCAGGAGACATTCAGACGGAGCGTTGGCACACAGCTTCCTTGTCCACCATGAAGATCACTGTCGCTCTCGTAGCGTGTTGCCTTGCTGGGGTCACCGTTGGATTTGTCTTTAAACCACGTAAGTTAGAGTTACTTACTCTTTCAAAAATATTCAACCTGTATCGAGAAGGCCTGAAATTATTGGAGTTTGGTCCGGAAAACCAGTGATTGAAAGCATGAACACTCCACGCCATTCGGGTACGGTGATGTGCAAGACACGGATCTCGTGACTGCATTTTTAGTCTGCTCGTGCATCAAGCGTGGAGTCTTGTGTTCCACATCTGACCGATGTCCACACAGGGAGGCTGCTTCGTTATTATCACTCATATATACATAAACTACAAATCTCCAACTTTTTAATCCTAAACATGCATGTTCCCAAATGAATTACAAATACTTCTGTACTGTTTACTAATTTTGACGATCGGTAAATGTTATAAGGAAGTAACAAATCAAAAGTGTGTTGTTTTGATTGCGATCTCGAGCATCCAAACACAGTATGTTGTGAAATAGAGGAACACGATTGGTGATACTTTGACAGTAGATGTATAAAAGTGTTTACTAATTATTTCGTTTTCACCAAACATATAATTCTTTTCAGCCTAGTATTGTTTCGTCGAATCCGATTTTTAAATGCATGCTTTCTTTTGCCAGTCTAAATCTGACAACAGTTGAACGTCTTCTGCTCTTGTCACATTAGACTTTGTCATCCGTTGACTTCATGTCAATGGTGTGTTTTGTTTCGAGGTTCAGAGACTGCTGTGAATTTATGAAAGATGGTTATTTTTTGCCTACAAGGAAACAGTTATTCATCGATAATACATTCGTTAATACGAAAAAAAGATTGTTCAATTTTTTTTTTCAGCATGCGAGATACAGCAGCATACATGCTATGATATGAGCGAGTGCCCACCGGGTACCCAGCCTTTGGCATCCCTCTGCCTGAATGACGCCCTATGTTGTGTTGGAACTCCAAGTTGGTATATCCTTATTCATCCGTACAGGAATCAGAATCTGAATATCCTTATTTTACCATACAAACTAGGTGTGATTGTGCTTATACAGGATCTTGATCACAATCTGGTTGATTTATGCGTTTAAACTGGCAATAAAAAAGGCAATAACCACCCATTTTTCTATCGTCACAGTTTATTCCAGTTTCTTCCAGACTGACAGTCAATGCAGCAAACGTGTTAAACGAACATATTGCCATACACTATATAATACAGTCAAATCTCGGATGTCGGATGTCTTTGTTGTCTCGAACATACCTTTCAGTCCCTGCGAGTTTCTCAGTAACAGTAACTTCAGACACTGCGCCTGTGTAAAGAAATGTTAATTGTAAGGAGAACATATGAGCAACTGTTCGTGAATATGAATCATCGAGGCCCGCATGTGTAGTCTATAGGCTGTACACAGGATCACGTGCCATGTCATGTGTATATCATTAATAAGCTGAACAACTACAGGGGCCCTGAAGAGTGAGTGAGTGAGTGAGTTGGGTTTAACGCCTTTTAACAGTATTCCAGTTATATGACGTCGTTGCTGCTTAATGTGGGACGACAGCGCGAAGTGATGCAGGTCTCAGACGTTTACCACTTCGGTGAAACCAACGATCACGGGTATGGTGCTGACAAACCTTTAAAGATAATCAGGGCGAACCGGGATTCGAACTCACAATCATAAGTTTCTGCTGTGCCCAAGGGACGCAACTCTGTACAGCGAATTGCGTGTTTTTAGACGACTTGATCACACACCTTCGAAAGATATTTGCTTCACATTGTCCTCTCTATGTCTGGCAGCTCCACCCCCATGTGGTATACTGGTGACTCCACGTGTCCTCAACGGAGATCCGGATAGTCCCGTTGAGAACCCATGGCTCGTCAAAGTCATCGACACTGGTACTGGAGACCTAGTCTGTGGGGGTGTCCTCATCGACATGGCATGGATTGCCTTTGATGCCTACTGCGCAACAAGGTTGGTGCTATTAGTGACTGAGTGAGTGAGTTGGGTTAAACGCCACTTTTAACAGTATTCCAGTTATATCACGGCGTGGCAGATTAATGTGGGAGGAAAGCCCGAAGTGATGCAGGTCTCAGACGTTTACCACTTCGGTGAAACCCACGAGCACGGGTATGGTTCTGACAAACCTAGAAACATAATCAGGGCGAACCGGGATTCGAACCCACAATCATAGGCTTCGGGCGTGCCAAAGGGACGCAACTCTGCACAGCGAATCGCTGCGCCTTAGACTAGTGGGACCCCCGTGCCCCCCGGTGCTATCAGAACACACACAAAGAAACAATGTACAGAACAATTCAATTCGGGTACCTTTGTGATGTAATTATCCCGCCGAAGGCCCGGGTTCGATTTCCCTTATGGATGGAGTCTATTTCTGGCGTCCCTCGCCGTGTTATTGGTGGACTATTGCTAAAAACACACCCACGCACTATACATTTCTGTCTCTGTTGACTGAGGAATGGAGTACGAAGCAGTAGCAATTATTGGTTAAATGAAATAATAAGACGTCGAAGTAGTTTCTGCTGAATTGATTGTGTAATTATGTTGAAAAATATGAATTTTGTGTTTCGTTACGCAGGTATTACCTTTCCTCACCCAGGTGAAAACAGCTTGTGTGGTCTTACAATTTGACCGAAAGGTGTATATGTAAAATGATAAAAATACTATAATAAAGTTAAACGCGTTTTTCGTGATTTCGACACATGTCCGTGCATTTCGCATGTCTCATCTACGAATTAAGTGAGTGAGTTAGTGACTTAACACCGCCTTCAACATTGCTTAGGTTATATCACGGCGGTAGGCTTAATGTTGGAGGAAAGCCAGATAGATTCTTTATTTCCTCCAGAAGTTAATCCTAAAATTATACATATTAATTAATCAAACGTATTCACACAAACTCATATTACCTGTACATATATACAATACAAGACAGTAGCACCAGTGTCATGCCATTCACACAGTACAAAAGGTTAGATCAGATGACATAATCAAGGTAAGGCTTTAATGCAAGTACATAAGCAGAAAATATCAGTATAACAGATTCCCATGTAACTATATCAATACATTGTGAGAAGTGAGTATCAGCACCAAAGAAAAATGACAACATAGCTTCTTCATCTTGTAATTCCAACTGGACATAGGTTTCAACATCAAGCAGATCAATAAAAGTTGAAAACCGTTCATTTCTTTTCTGCATTCTGTTTGCAGTTGTGAAAAGGCTGGAGGCTGCCGTGTGTTGATGGGGAACTACGATGCTGCGGCAGAGGAAACACAGGAACAGCACAGGAACCTGACTGTGGTGCATCTGCAGCCCGATGTCCTCTTCAAAACAGCCGACCAATACGATTCACTTTTCAATCTTAATCCAGAGGTTGTTCTCAGTAAGTCTTGTAATGTATTTAAGAACGTGACATTCGAACCTTTTTATTATTACCCTGTCAGTGTTTTCCACAGTGTTCGCAATGAAATATGTGTCATTTGTAATGTTTCCACTTTCAGTCAACAACGTGGCCATTGCACAACTTTCTGCTCCTATAACTCCTTCTGACAGAATCAATCGTGTGTGTCCACCCTCAGATGTGTACAATGTGTTCCGATCACCACGAAACTGCAAAGTAGCTGGCTTCGGATATACAGATCAAGCAGGTATGAAAGTAGCAAAAATGTAGACAAAATGGGAGTCCTTATCAAACTTACTTTATTCAAATCATTCCTAAATTTGTCACAAAGTATGGAACACGTTAGGTGAGCAATCTTGACAAAACATTTTAAAACCGTATTTGTGTGTAGATCTATGCTTTTTGTAGGTAAACTGATATCCAAAGAAAACTTTGCCATAGTTATAAATCATTCTATTCTAAACACAACTAAAGATAGTTGCATATGCATGAAGTCAAATGTATTGAAAATCTCAAAATCTCAACGAAATCAGCATATAAAATGACAGTCATATAACATCCGATATTGGCATGGCATTTGCCCGAATTGAGGTGAGGTAGAAAAAACAAACTTTATTGGAAAAAGGACACACATCAAAAATCGCTCATGTTCAATGACATGTCACATTAATAGCGTGTATTAGTCCCCCTGCTTACAAGACATAAAACTCTCCGGTGCACAGAAAATGTCAGTTACTGATGACGTCACGTAGGAAACGTCGCCATTTTCTTGTCGCCTGGATCAGTTCTTGTTGGTTGGTTGGAGGATGTGGTCTTGTGTCCTTGTAATTTGCAATAACACCGAAACATGCATCTGTGGTTTGGGAAGGTAAACATCATTAGGAATAAACGTTGTATTTAGCGAGCCTTGACAAGGGCGACGCCATGTTTATTTGTTTCCACTGAAAGTTGTATCTGCCTGACTTTTCATATTTGCATCTTTATCCGTATGAGACCCCAACGGAAACCGTTTTTATCTGTTGGCATAATACTGCCGAGAAACCTACCCATTATATGATAAAGCGATATATCCGTACCGTGCAGAAGGCTTTTTACTTCAGAACAGTGTACAGATTACATTTATGCAAAACTGGTAACTCACCATTTCTGTCTTATTATAATTCCTAATATTGTATCTTACAGCACTTTTTATAGGAACAGACTTGGCACACATGCTAACCAAATTTGGCAATCTTACCCATAATCTAAAGTACAAAAAATAGTTGATATAAATTAGACTATATACTTTATGATAATTGGTGTTAAAAGTATCAACCCATTGTCCAAATTGTTTATATAAATTGTAATCTTGGGCATGTGGCCTCCAATTCTAAAAAAGAGAGAAGAAAGAGTGAACAGATTACATTTAATTATTTATCTGTTTTGTGCATTCAGAGACCACCAATCCTCAGGTGTCCGGGGTCCGCCAGGTTGTTGATGCCGTCATCATTGATGATAGCACCTGTGAGCACATCCGAGGCACGCCTCAACCGCCCACAACACACTGCGGCGTTTTAACCAAGACGGACACGGGGATTTGTCGCGTGAGTGGGGTCTGGTTTTCAAAGTGAAACGAACAACTTTCCTTTATTTGGAACGGAGTTGTTGCAGTAATCTTGTCTTCTGAAAGACGTAACAGTTGTAAAGAGTGTGAGAAATGTATTTTTTGAAAAAAACCCAGGTGATATTGATATATGAGAGGAAGAAAGACAGATTGATCATAAAGATATGCCAAAAAAGTAGGAGGTCATGAAATATTGATGTTATGACGGGTCGCAGAAGAATGATCAGCTTTGAAATGAGTGTCAGAATAAAACCGTTTCGTTACCAAACCCTAACGCTCCAACACACCCGAAACATAGCAGGATATACAGTCAACTACGGTTGAAACGAACTGACGGATATAACGATATGGTTTTTGGATCCCGGCCACGTGCCACAGTATATTGCAACATGACAATAGGGGATGGGTCTGTATTGTTGGGGCGGGATCACTATGACTGCCAGTGCACATTGGTTATGGGCCGTTTTCGCGTCATGCTGACCTACGTCTTTCAAGACGATAACGCTCGTGGCCAGCGTGCATGTATCTACCTCCAGCAGCAAACCATCGCCAGAATGCAATAGTCGGGGACGTGATGGGGATACATGTACGCCGACGTCAAAGGCCATCCGCTACTTTTTCTAAACTATTAACATATTTCCTTGTCTGAATGAACAATTGGATTGAAGAAACGTGACAGTCCATTTTAGTATTGACGTAAGTGGCACTACACCCATCTCACTCGATAATTTACTCAAATTATTGGAAATTTGATTCGGACCAAGCCAAGCTGTACAAACGAATGTTTGACCAATCGTTCATGTTTTACAAACACACCCCTGTCACCTTTCATGGTTGCTAGCACCCTCAAAATACACCGTCAACATGTTCTGTCGAGTATCGTGTTACACATAGCCCTTCCTTTTTCTTATCCATCCATGACCACTCCATACCTCTTTGCATTTCTGTATCATCTGTTATTATCGATTATCCTCTGCTTTGTTTTAAAGAGTATATATTACATGACGTCTAGCAGTTTTGGGGTCACGGGTGACCCTGTCGTCTAAGGCGCTGCAATTTGCTATGCAAAGTTGCGTCCCTTGGTCACGCCAGAATCCTAAAGTTTGATCGTGGGTTCGAACCCCACTATTCTGACAATATATTAAACATGTGTTTATGAATCAATATCAAATAGTGGGCACCATGGGGCCCAGTCGTCCAAGGCACCACGATTCGCTGTGCAGAGTTGCGTTCCTTAGCACGCCAGAAAACCTATGATTGTGGGTTCGAATCCCGAATCGCCCCTATTATGTTTCTAGGTTTGTTAGCACCATACCCGTGCTCGTGGGTTTCACCGAAGTGGTAAACGTCTGAGACCTGCATTATTTCAGGCTTCCCTCCCGCATTAAGCTGACACGCCGCGATATGAGTGAAATAAATGTTTCAACTCACTCGCTAGCAGTTTTAAAATAAATAAATCATATGACACTGCTTTGGGAATAGTTCCAGTTCCACATAATGTATAATGGTAAAACAGAATGCGAGAACGTGATCGCATCTGCTTAATAAGGGCATGTGGTTAATGTACTTCAGGGTGACAACGGAGGTGCTTTGGTCTGCCAGAACGACACTTCCAGCTTCTGGACAGCGGAGGGAATCGTGTCCTACTACACCAACGGCAACGGCGCCTGCAGTGATCAGCTTTTCATCTTCACAGACATTTACGGAGCGTGGGACTGGATACAAGACACAATTAACGGCGTTTAAGCCCATTATCGACACCACGAGCTTGAATACACCACGTTCCCCAATCACCCGTGAAGACATTCGGCCACAATGCTGTGGGGTGTTGACACGCATAGTTTAAGTCAGCAACATAAATGAGGTCGTGTGTAACTGAGACTTTTTTGCATAAGATTTTTTTGTACCCTACTATTGGCTGTTTTGTTCGAGCAGTATGTTGATCCAAAGGGCGTAGCAAAACGCTTTTTGTGAGTGTCGTGTATGTATCTGGAAGCTGATTTGTCGGAACACGCTGTTGGTTAAAATAGCTTTTTACCACATCGCGGCCGTATGTATCAACGGGTGATGTAGGGTATGCTGTTGCTTTGAAATAAAATCTGCATTTATATTATCGTATTGTGCTGCCTTCCAAGCTAATATTTGCATCCTAATAGCAAAAAACACATCTCAGTAGACACTTTTACACTAGTTTCCTACACCGGTAAACACTGCCACAAAAAGTAACGATTGTTGACTCCGGAGTCTTCTACCAGAAAAGGTGGCCTTGTTCGCTGTGCAGGATTGTGTCGCTCAGGCGGACCGGGATTCTATGATGATGGGTTTGAATCCGAAGTGTCTTGGTTTCTCTGTACCATACCCATGTGCTATGTGTTTCACCAAAATGGAAAACGCCTAACAGCTGCATTCGTGCCCGGTGCACTTTTAGCCGATTGGGCCACAGGTGGACAGAGTTGCTTTCCTTAGTCGTGCCAGGATCTGTTTATCATTGGTTTGAATCTCAGGTTATTGGTTTTACAGCACCATACCTATGTAGATTGTTTTACCAAAGATTTAAACGTGTACGACTATGTTCATTTTGTGATTTTTCACGTCGTGGATTATTATTCAAAGCACCTTTAACTCAACTCACTCCCATTCTAATACAGTATCTGAGGTATCGATATGAGATATCGAATGAAATCCTTACCTTGTCAACTTGCCGACGGGATTAACCTTTACGATGTTGACAAAACGTCCGAGTGCCGGTCAGAAGGTCCGTGTTTCGAATTCAGCATGGGCCTTGCACACTGTGTGGCAGGTACATTAGCTCCCAGCGTGGAGCCGAGCACGTTCATGTCAAGCTTGAGCAAAAATAAATCTCAGTACTCTAGAATGGGGACCTGGCGGACACTATGAAGTAGTGTGTGGAGTCATCCCATAGATGACATCTTTACCGATTCAGCTTGCCTTTGTGGTCTTGTGGAGAAGGCGTCCGACCTCGGGTCTGAAGGCCCGTGGGTCGAATCCCATTACCGGACTCAGAACGTTTATGGCCGCTTCATCAACACCACAGTTTCATCATTTCATCCTGTAAAGAAATGAGTCCGGATCAGACAAACCATTAATGTGATAGCATGCACGGCACTCAGCGCTGTCTGGAGACTGTCACACGACGACTTTATGTAACAATATATATTTAATAATCTGTAGCACTCAAACATATTTTATAATAAATCTAAACCGCTGGGCAAAAGAACGTATACACTTGAAATGTGGACTATACCAAAAAGTTACAAACGTTACTGGACTTAAAACACTGCAAACATAAGGTCCAAATCACAACTTTGATACAAGTATCAAATACATCACCATCGAATAGCCATGTCTTGCTTTTTCCAACCACCACGAAACATGAGTGTATGCTTTGTTTTGCCCAGTAGTGTACATGTCAGCTTGTTTGGGTTGATGGTCATTTCGGCTTCATGCAATTCTAAATTAATGCTAATTATCAACCGCCAGGCCTGAAAGAGTATACTGACCGCTGGCTTGTGGTGACCGACAGCTACACTCCTATCTCCAAATCTATCTTATTCCAAATTGACCACATTATGTCTACGTGTGCAAATCATTGTGGATTAAATAGAGAATCTGTACTTTACGAAGAAATTGTTAGCCCAAATATAGCATTTGTTATATTTGACAACTTTCTAAATTGCATTGTGTGTTCATAGCTTTTGGACATGGGAGCCGTGAACATTTACATTTGTTTGAGGGGTACACAAAGTACTTGATCTAGACTACCAGTTGTCGGACTTTCACTTTTTGTGTGCTGGCGAAAAGGTGCCTCACTGTGGAGGTGTGGGTTCGAATCCCGGACCGGCCGCAACCCAAAAAATTTAATTTATGAGAATCTGTACTTTACTAAGAAAGTGTTATCCCAAATATACCATTTGTTACATTTGACCACTTTCTGAATGACATTGGGTAGAACGCAGACCCTGCCATTGCCTATGAAGCAATAAAGGCTCAAAGTGCAAGTAGGGTTTTGTTATTCCTCCCGAGGTAGAATAAAACTTGAGGGTAACTACCACACGCACGTGCAAATCCTAATTTCACACTTTCACACTTTCATGCAGGTAGATCATAAGCATGGATCTAACTAAATGTTCAACTGCGTCTTCTCGATCAGGACACTCCTGCCTTTTCTTCAAACTCCTGTTCAGTGACCATTCTTAGAATTGTAATCACTGTTTTACCTTTTATGCAGAATGGAATTGTTTCCGCAGATAATCGATACTGATTACTCTCCGACGTTGACGTTTCCTGTTATATCTCTTCAATGTTGAAATTACTTTCACACCTGACATGTAGGTTGTGATCGGGTGACAAAGTAGGAAGTATCCGAAAACAGTGAATTACAGTGAACGGTTGGCATATGTATGTATATTGATAGGGCCGTTCTGGCCATATGTCTATCTCAATTTCGAGCCCACACTAACTGACAGCGCGATATAGACATACATCACAACAGCTGATTTCTGGATCGAACCTTTGGCCCGAATCTTTTAATATTCGGGGGTTGGGGATTTTTCTTTGAGGCACATAATTCTCTTCCCTGAAAGGAGGCCCCGAGAAGCCATAACTATTTTCATAACGCCTTTACTCGAGCTTGTCTCGTGAGCAATTTCGGCTGAGGCTACATGTTAACCGCATTTTTTGGAACGATTCATGTTTATAATATGCCACCTTTCATTGGTAAGAGGTAGCGATGCAATTCACTCGTATTTTACGTTGATGAAACCTTCTAAGCTGATAGTAAGCTAAACTACCCCTGACCCCTACAACCACCCTTGCGTCCCGTGAAGATTCCGGGTTAGAATTGTTCTTCAGCAAACCATGCTTGTCGTAAGACGCGACTTAAGACGCGTGGTCAGGCTCGGTGACTTGGTTGATGCATGTCGTCGTATCCCGATTGTGTAGATCGATGCGCATGATGTCAATCATTGGATTGTCTGGCCCAGGCTAGATTATTTATATAGCTGGAATATTGCTGAGTGCGGCGTTAAACAACAAACAAAACCCTACCCTTGCCATCCCCCCGTGAACCACCTCGGCCATATTTACTGTATACTCAACAATATCTGCTAAGGCGTTCACTTTGTCGTTATACATAGGTGATGACTGAACGTTTCACCATTCATCATGTCGGCATGTCCTAGGGCTACTTGCAACACATTATTGACTCGATATTGTTAACACTTGGCAACACTGGAAGGTGTGTTAGGGTAAGGTGTGTTTGCCTTATCGTATTCATAACGAAGAGGAATCATTGAGGAAGATGGGTGTAGCGCCATTTACTTCAATACCGTGTTGAACTGTTCATCAAGAGTGTCACGTTTCCTCAATCCCATTGTTCATTTCTGTTAAGAACAGAATCTGGGTTACATTTCGGCGTTTCAGATTAATCTGGAAGGCATCAGAAGGATTGCAGTCCGTTTACTGCATGGTCTACATGTTTGTTGCCAAAGTAAGTGAGTGAGTGAGTATTGTTTTACGCCGCTTTTAGCGATATTCCAGCAATATCACGGCGGGGGACATCGGAAAATGGGCTTCACACATTGTGCCCATGTGGGTAATGGAACCCGGATCTTCGGCGTGACGAGCGAACGCTTTAACCACTAGGCTACCCCACCGCCCCGTATGTTGCCAGAGTTTAGACACATGGAACGGTAGGAGAGTAGGATACTTGCGGTATTCCATAACCAAGTGTATCAATAATTATGATTATTAGAGGAACAAGGGCATATAAGAAGATATATTGTGACCAGATCTTAGCGAAAAAAGTAAATAACAACTTCGGTTATTGCAACTATATTGCATAGCAAGAAGAAACTGTGTAAGTTTTGCTATTTAAGGTAAAATAGATCTACAGTAAAGTTTCCTTGTACAATGACAAGAAACATCGTGTGCTTTCAGGTTCGAAGAATTGGTTTTTACATACATCAGACAGAAGCATTAACATGGATTAGTTATAGAACTAAATGTGCACCTTCTGGACAGGACCTGCTGACTTGGTTGATACATGTCATCGATCCCAAATGCGTGGATCGATGCTCATGATATTAATCACTGGATTGTCTGGTCCAGACTGGATTATTTATAGACCGCCGTCACATAGCTGGAATATTGCTGAGTGCGGCGTTAAACAACCAACCAACCAACCAACCAACTGGACAGGACCTGCCTACTCTTTTCGCGAACTCATTTCGCTCATTTAATCATTGATTTTCAATGATCCATTGACATAATTGTCATCACTGTTCTGTCTCTTATGCCAAATAGAATCTGTTTTGGCAGACAATTGAGACAGATTGCACTCTGATGTTCACGTGTCATATTATATCTCTTCAATGATGTAATGTTGTGTTTTACACGTGAATTATAGGTTGTGTTTTACACGTGAATTATAGATTGTGTTTTACACATGAATTATAGCTTGTGTTCGCGTGACGAAAGATTAAAGATGTTCATATATCTACTCTGGAAGATATTGGTCAAATATGTATACAAACTCAATATATACTGAATATTTTGCCATTACAAATATCATGGTATTCGCGCTGTAAACTGAGAAATCATACTATTCAATGAAAGAATTCATACGCCGTGAACAGTGCGGAATCTATTTTCTCACCATTCTTTAACCATTGAGGGAGCGTTTCAATCTCGCGTTTGGCCAAACAACACACGAACAAGCGTAGTAAGATCCTTTAGATTTACTTCCACAGTACTGTGTTCGTGTGCTAACAGCTTCATTTATTTGGCAATGGGCAATACATAGCAAAAGAATGAACATAATAATTACTTAAATATACATTCCGTTAACGTGAGTGAGTGAGTTGGGTTTAACGCCGCTTTTAACTCTATTACAGTTATATCACGGCGTGTCAGCTTAATGTGGGAGGAAGGCCCGATTGATGCAGGTCTCAGACGTTTACCACACCGGTGAAACCCACGAGCACGGGTATGGTGCTGACAAACCTAGAAACGACCCACAATCATAGGTTTTTGGCGTGCCCAAGTGACGCAACTCTTGCCAGCGAATTGCGGCGCCTTAGACGACTGGGC